TAATCATGCTTTTATGTTAATGCCAAAGAAACAAATAAAAATTGGTTGCACTGTGATTATAAACAAATGAGTACAAAATTGTAGTCTAAATATTGAGATACTTTTCCTTCCTTTGTGTGGTTTTTTTATTATTATTTTTTTTCCCCTCCATAATCTGAAACAAGGTTTAACTCTAGAGACTTAAATGAAAGTTAATCATTCATGGAAGAAAATAAGTAAAAAAGAAATTAATGTTGCCTAAAGTCCTTCATGGTCTGAAGTGACAGAAGAGGCAGAAGCCCAAATGTAACTGTGCAGGAATGTGCTTAGATATAAAACCTAGGATGTAACTGTGGGAATGCCTTTAGATACAAAAACTGGAATGCAACTATGTGTTAGTGAAATCTGCAAAAAGCTGGGAATGTCATGCTCAATGTTTGAGAACTGCAGGCAATTGGCAGTGTTTTTCAGAACTATTCTTATAAAAGCTGCTTTTCCTGAGTTTGGGGCCTGATCCAGTCACTTTTTATTTTTTGCTCTTGGCTTGAACTCATGTGAACTAGAATGGAATTAGCAAGAGACAGTAAAAGCTGTGGTTCTGTGTACTCTCTCCTCAGTGGTAAAGCTGGCTTAAATTCTGGCTCCAAATCATACTTCCCGGCCAGTCTCACTTTTTCCAGGAAGAGTTTTTTGTAGGAGAGAAATGTGAAATGTTCTGATCCAATTTGCCAAAAGGCATTACAGAAAACTTCCTATTACTTTCTTTTTCCAAGGCGGACTACTACTGGTGAACAGTGTGGCTCCGTGAACAGTTGTGCTGGAATTACTGAAAGAATGAAGCACCCTGTGATGGCAGCAAGGGATGGGAATACAGCTGTTCCTACCAACCTCTGTGTAATGTGAAATCCCAGCCTCATTAAAGAGATTTTTGTAGTGTAGTATTTGTTGCCAGAAATTAGTACATTCAAGCTCTCAAGGCAATAGCCTGATGAAACAGCGATGTTCATGAACTCTCCGAACAAAGCGTCATCCTTTCTCAGCCTTCTCCTATTTTTTTCAGGTAGCAATAAGCAAGGAAGGAGGTGTCAAAGGAAACATCTCTCAAGCAAAAAATATTATGCTTTAGAAATGCTTCACTGAAAGCAGCTTTTACTGGCAAGTAAAATTTGACTAGCCTGAAAGCTGCAACCAGGCTAGACTAGAGGCAAATGATATAAACAAGTACGCTATCTGAATTTGCTGCTAAGTCAGTTGCCTTATGGCAAGTGCTGTATTTTTCATAATCTCATTGCAAGGTCCTTCATTAAATAGCTGTAGGTCTGCAGGTTTGAGCCAGGAGAGTCACCAAAAGAATTACTTAAGAGATTTCACTCAGGCTTTTAGTTTCTTTCCTTTGTTATTACCTTCAAACATATAGACTGTTGGCTGTACAAGAATAGAGGAAACCTATTTCAATGTGACAAACATTAGGATTAATAAAATTTCATCTCAAATCTTTATTACTAAGCTATATGTTTTAATCAGTGATGTAGTTTTTCTTCTTTTTACTGTCAAACTTTCTGCAATTCTTGTGGTTCTCTAAAAGCTATGCTGTTTTATCGTTGAAATTTAAGTGAAACTGTGATGGCAATAAATGGGTTAAATTAATGTGTCCCTGCCCCTTCCCCCCAGTCCCAGAGAATTTTTGTGTAAAGTTTTACAGGAAAACATTTTTTAACCATGCAGGGCAGCTTTAGAAGAAGTAGAAGGAGATGTGACAGAACTGGAACTGAAACTTGACAAGGTAAGCTTTTTAATTCAACAATGACTGTTCTGAAAAATATAAAAAGATGTGTTTAGGTTTTGTTTTAAAGTTCATAGCTGGGAAGCGGCAGTGGCTGCCGCCCAAGTGTTCTGCTCTTGCAGAGGGAACAGGGAACGGATCTGGGCCGAGTGCACAGCTGGGCCCCAGAGACCCAAGCTGCAGTAACAGCAGCAGCAGCCAGCGTGAACTCGCTTTCTCCGCCAGCTGAAGGTTTGGGTTGTGCAATGCCCTCCTGCCCCTACGGCCCCCTCACACTCTGACTCAGCCCCACAGTGGGAGCTGCATGCAAACTAACTCAGCTTTCATATGAGTTAGAAGCCAGGGGATGGCCATCCCCGCATTGAGAGCTTATGTTTTATGACAGCTGCACACTGTGAGGACATCTGGATACTCTTTCTTTTAGAGATTTAAAGTCCATGCTTTCTGTCTGTGGTAGTGTTCGGCACAGTCACAGCGGGATAGGTATCTATATCCTTCACTTTTGTCTTGAGGACTTAACTACCGTAAACATTCATCCTGCTTTTTGTCTTGCTTTGTGTATGTATATAAAAGGTTACATGCAGCATCTTTTCAGTGCCTTACAATCCATTTATTGGTGTCCTAACCAGTAGTATTTGGAAGCTTTTGTTCTTTCTTTGCTACTATTTCAAGGGTGGCTTTTTTTTTGTTCTACATCTGTAGAAAGTCTCCTTTCCTTAGCATTTTATGCTAAATGCTAAAAATTATTTTTTGCCTGTGTTTTAATGTGGTAGGCAGATGTCATTGGTTCACCTCTTTAGCTACTTTTTGAATATGAACTTTTGTTCCTCCAGCTGCAAGCTGGCTGCAGAAAGATAGAGACAAAGTCAGTGTGAAGTGTAGCGTTAAGTCTGAAGACTTTTTGTTGCTTCTTGTAATAATATTTCTAGCTTTTGTAGTTAATAATGTAACCATTTGCTCTTCCAAAATAAATTTAAGATACTTAATTTTGATTTGGTGTGAATTTTGGTGAAACTGATGGGTATAAGACATTTTTACTGTAGGGGTGATGAATCTGTTTTGATGGATTAAACCATGTAAGTATTTAAAGGATCTGAAAAAAATCTCTCTTGGAAGTTTGTGTTTTGCACCAGTCTAAAAGGGTCATTTCTGGGGAAAAGAATTCTCAAATTCCTTAAAGGGGATTGTTTGGGGCCTTGCTCCCAGCAGCTTGCAGGAGGCCAGTGCCAAATACACCATTCTATCATGTAAAAGCTGTAATTGTAGTATTACTTTTTGCCCTGAGACAGTATCCTAGTACTCAAACGCATTTACTCCCCTGACAAGAAAGCAAGTACACAAGGTAAGTATTTAAGTAGTTTAATTATAATGTGAAGTATGTGATTTAGTATAATGCTTAAGTTGAAAGCTGAGCTTGTTGTGTAAGCTGAAGTCACTATGGCCTGAGGGTAATGATTTGTCGAGACTTGGTTGGTAACATTTTCTGCTCAGTTATTCATATTAAACTTAATTTTATTGTCCCACAGTTGTGACTTTGGGCTACACTGTCTGCATTTTTTTCCCCTCTGGAAGAAAGGACACTGGGTTCAGGGTTGTGAACCATAAGCAAAGGTGGAGGAAAAAAGGATCATGTTGGTTGTGATTTTTCTGTCCATTGTTCAAGCAACTTGGCCATTCATCAGAATGTGGGAGATGATGCTCACATTTCTTGTTTTCCTAAAAGGATCCGAGTCAACATAAAAATTACTGGGTAAATAAGGCAGGAAGGTCACTTGGGTGGTTTTCTTGCCCCAACATAGGATCAAGTAGTTCTATGTTGTTCTTCATGAAAATTTGTCTAACATGCTTGAAAAATCCTTCAGAAACAAAGGGTCAATCTTCTGATTTTATTCTCAGTTTGGTTTAGGGTGAGGGAACGCAATTATAATATGCCTTCTTGTCCTGGTTTCAGCTGGGATTGAGTTAATTTTCTTCCTAGTAGCTGGCATAGTGCTGTGTTTTGGATTTAGTATGAGAATAATGCTGATAACACACTGATGTTTTAGTTGTGGCTAAGTAGTGCTTACTCTAGTCAAGGACTTTTCAGCTTCTTGTGCTCTACCAACTGAGAAGGCTAGAGATGCACAAGAAGCTGGGAGGGGGCACAGCCAGGACAGCTGACCCAAGCTGGCCAAAGGGCTATTCCATACTGTATGATGTCATGCTCAGTATAGAAACTGGGGGAAAGCTGTCTTGGAGGCCGCTGCTTGGGAACTGGCTGGGCATCATTGGCTGGTGGGTAGTGAGCAATTGCATTGTGCCCTGCTTATTTTGTATATTTTATTATTGTTATTATTATCCTTTCCTTTTCTGTCCTATTAAATTGTCTTTATCTCAACCCACAAATCTTCTTTTCCCCCGATTCTCTCCCCCATCCCACTGTGCAGGGGCAGTGAGTGAATGGCTGTGTGGTATGCTGCCTGCCAGGTTAAACCATGATATTTCTCTCAAGAGGGCACCTTAGTGATTGTATTAATCTATCTTTCTTTCATTAATGGCCCAGTGCATAAATGGTTCAAAAAGTGGGAAAACATTCATCACAAGATAATGATGGCCTTCATATCGGACTCTGCAGTACCATGATAGCTGCGGTGCTGACCTAAGCAGTGAGTGGTAGGGATGGAAACCCATCAGAGAAAGGCTAGTTTGTATGAGTGAAAACATGATTGATTTCACCTTCTGAGATGTAACCATCTCTCTTCAGTTGTGCTTTGTGCAGGTAGCCTTTTGCTTTCCTGTGCGTGTATGCTGAGTGTCTCAAGATGAAACAATTGATGTGGGTTTCTTTTGGGATTTTTTGGCTCAGAAACCACAAAACACTTAGACTTTGCTTAGGTTCTAACCAGTTATGTTTTAGTTGCTGTGCTTTTTGCCCTTATACAGCCCTCTCTTGAAATATGTGCAAAATCTCAGTTAACAGTAAAACAAATAAAAACAAATTATAAAGAGTAGTAACCTTCTCAGTGGCATGTCATTTGACCTAGAGTAGTATTTTTATAGCTATCGCTATACAATAGAAAGCTTTTCATAGAATGTGGAGCTGTGTAAATTTAGAATTTGACTTTTGAAATCTTTGTTTCTTAGACTTAAGTAAGCTCAGTGTGTTTTATGTCTATATGGTGATGTAAAAAACAACAAAAAAAAATAGTCCCACTTTGTCATTTTTTCCTCTTTTTAGCTGGTAAAGCTTTGTATTGCAATGATTGATACTGGGAAAGCATTCTGTACAGCCAACAAGCAGTTCATGAATGGAATTCGAGACCTTGCACAATATTCCTGTAAAGATGCATTGGTTGAGGTAAGTTCTTTAAGAGGTGAAAATGGAAGGAGAAAAGCATGACTTAAAAAGGGTAGAATATAACAGTTGGCAAGATAAAGTAGTTGAAGTTTATACTATTATTTGCCTTTTTGCTCCTTTTTCTTTGAGATGTCATAAGAGTGAGCTTTTTTGACTGTGGTGCGCTGCAAGTGTCTGTGCTGTTTAGTTTCAGCTTTAACCTGCAATGGCAAGGGTTTTCCAAATACCAGAAAATATGTATTAGGTTAGGAATAGTCATCTTGGGAGGAGTGGAGAAAGTCAGGTTGAAGCTGTGAACAGCTACCCTGTTTACTTCGCTAAATAAAGGGGTTCTAGTCATGAGACCCTAAGAGCCATTTCTCTGCAACTAAATTCCCTGAGTTGATCTCTTGGGTCCTGGAACGGGCACTCTCTAATACATAGAAATTTAAATTATTAAATGTACAGAGCCCACTTTGATGGTGTAACTTCAGACTGATGTCTTGTTAGGCTAATGTGGAACACCTAATATTTCCTGTCTATGTTACTTTGAAATGAGGTATGAAATTGTGTAATATGCAGGTATAATTATGTGCACATCTCTGTCATCTATGTTTAATGTGTATTACGTAATAGAACATCAACTGCATGTATGCATTTTCACACACTAGTTGAAATAGGTAATGCCTGTGAACTTCAGTGTAGTCTGTGTGCAACTGAAACTGTTGTTGTCTAGAAATTTACTTGCTAGAAAAGTAGTGTGATGGCAAACTAGTAAAATTTACACTATTTGATTCCAAGTAGGTTTTTGTTACACCTGTTGGGTAAGCAATAAGCAGTTATCCAGATGTATTAGGGATCATTGTTTTCTAACTGTGTTTAATTGGGACATTGATTCTACCGATTGATGTTGATGTTGCTAAGCATATCAGCTGTGAGGCAGTAGTTCCTACAGTAAATGTGTGTTTACTGATGGTTACAACATGTCAACCATTTTTTTGGAGTATTAAACATTAATAAATATTAAGTAGTGTAATATTAGATATTGTAAATTAATGCATTAAATTGTGCGAACTTCCTGTAGCTTAGTCAACTTAATTCGAGTATTTCCTGCTTTGCTTCAGTTTGGTCCTTATAGGTAGGTAGGTAGCAATAACGTTTTTGTTGCTTGTAGCTTTAATAGATTTACTTGATATTACCCCTGTGTTCTCCTTCTAGCATAATGGTTTTTGTTTAATAATCATGCTAAGGAAAATCAATTCCCAAGTTCTTTACTGAAAAGCTATAAACCTCTGAAATGTTCCTTTTGTGCTGTGTATTTGGTAGGGCTTAACTTAAAACGCTTTGTTTTTCTCTTTGCAGACCAGCTTAACAAAGTTCTCTGACACCTTACAGGAAATGATCAATTATCACAATGTAAGTATTTCTAGCTGTAACATGATGCTGATAGCTTACCTCCAGTTATCATAGAATCATAGAATGCTTTGGGTTGGAAAGGACCTTTAGAGGTCATCTAGCCCAACCCCCCTGCAGTGAGCAGGAACAGCTTTAACTAAACAGCAAAGAACAAGCCATATTAAGAGAAGTTTTCTTTGCAGATCTAAGTAGGACCACTTTGAGTTCTGTCCTGCTTTTTTCCCCTCTACTTCCTTCCTCAAGCATAGTGAGTAGAACAGTGGCTTTTACCAAAGGCACGAACGTAGGAAGTGAGGCATGTTACGGGGTTCTCATGTAGAGTTTTGCCAGACATGTTGTGGTTCTGCATTGCTTTTTGTGTTCAGCAGGACTTATTAGTTCAGAGTGTCAGCTCTGTTGTTGACCAAGTTGGCAGGAGAGCCATCATGAGTGATAAGAAGCTAGTGGAAGAAAGAGGAGAGACAGGCATCCTCCAGAGGAAGAAGGGAAGGGGTAGGAGATGGTCCCACTGAGATCTGGATGACTGCCAGTTTTCTCATACAGGGCTTTGCTACAAATGAGGCTAGGAACCAGACTAATGCAGCATCTTCACTGATTCAGCAGTGGGGGAGTAGCTTTGGCAGCTTATGGCAAATAGCAGCATTCTTAGACTTGGTTTGGAGTGTGTGAAAGGTAATGTGTAGGAAAGGCTGCAAATCTAGTCAGATCGTGGTCTGGGCACTTCTTTCTGTTCTTTCAGGGGAAAAAAAAGTGTATGTATTTTTCTGCCTAGCGCTTCTTTCCTCTTCATTACTGTAAGCAGAATTGCAAGGCTTGTACTTCGGGGAGTCCACTAATCAGTTGAGTTCCCATCTGGTTATAGTCTTTCTGTATTGATCTTGATTGGTGCACTCCTCAGGCACTGGCAAGCTTAAATGTCAGCAGTGGGAGTAGTCCCAGCATGACTTCCAGCTTGTCAAGAAGTTCTTTATCTATTCTAGTTGTCTGTTTTTCTGGTTTCCCAAAATGGGACTACAAACATGATCTTCCATGTGTTACTGTTAGATATAGGACAATTCAGGTTGGAAGGGGCCTCAGGAGATGTCTGGTTCAACTGCCTGCCTAAATCAGGGTCAGCTCTGAGGTTGAAGCAGGTTGCTTAGGATTTTATCCCATTTTGTCTTGAAAAATCTCCAAAAATGGAGACTGGATGGAGGATATAGTACCACTGTTAATGGGTGACTTAAACTCAGTCATGTTTTCCTTCCTTCAGTGTTTCTAGAAAAGAGAAACAAGATGGTAAGGGGTTTGCTGTCAGTACTTGGCATTGCATGGCTTTTCATTCCCAATTTTTGTGAATAGGGAAACTAAGACTGAGAACATTGAAAGAAAACATCATTTGACCTGAAACTCTGAGTTCTTGATTTGCTCTTTCAATAAAATTATTTAACACTTAAAGACGCTTACCTTTTGGAAGAGACTCCGTTCAGTTGGGCCAACTACTGCTTCCTTATATTCTTTCACCTCTTTATTTTTTGTAATTGTGCCTTGTGTATTTCCATAATGCAGAATGGGAGGTGTAGAGGAGTTGGAAATTAAGGCATCATTTGTGGTCTGCACAATGATAAGTGGCAAAAGGATTTGCCCCATAGTCGTTGATCTGTTCCATTCGGCCTTAAAACTCAGAGGGCAGATGTGAAGCTGAAGGAATGTGCATTTTCATTCCTCAGTTAAACTTTCTGGGATCATAAGAGAAAACACAAGTTGTCTAATGTTCAGGTATGCTTTGGCCTTGGGAACTTAATAAATTTCTCAAGCTTTACAATTTGAATGATTTGATTATATTCTGCCCCTCGCCCCAGCCTCCCAAAATCATAGAAATTTGAGAAGCATGGCTCAGAACACTTAATCTTAGAAAAAAGAAGCAGCCATTCTTCTTAGTTCAGCAGTGGATGTTTTTTTTACAAATGTATTATGTAAAGGAGATGGTACTAATTACTCATGTATGTTACATCTGCAGCATTAATTTCAGTCTGTGTTTTTTTGCCAGAAGTTAAGGGCATGTTCTTTCTATGGCTTCATTTGTCTTTTAGTTGTTGGTTAAATTGTGAAAGTCTAAGAATCAAGAAAAGTTCTTACTTAACATTCAAAGTTGTTTCTTCAAGGCTGTTTGTACAGTAATATTCTTGACCATTTAATAATCATAATAACATGTTCTATGAAAGTGGGAGTGTCTTACATTGTCAGGATGAGAGAATAAGATGCCAGGAGCTCTTGTCTCTCCTTATAACTACATTCTTTAAGAAAAGACCAGCAAAAGGTGCTGGGTTTGTTATTTTCTTTATTTTATTCCTTATTTATTTTTTTACTTATTTCAAAACTACTTTGAAGAGTTTTGTATTTTTATATTAGAACACATTGGTTTAATAATAATTCTCATCTAATTCTGCGTATAACCATGTGTGTATCTAAAATGAAGAGTTATGAATACTGCTAAGTTACTGACCTACATAATGCTTTTCTTTCAGATCCTGTTTGACCAAACCCAAAGATCAATTAAAGCACAGCTTCAGACTTTCGTTAAAGAGTAAGTTAATTTGCAAATGTAATGGGAAAATTATTGGTAAAATTTTAAAAACAGCTGATTTGACTGGGTTGGTGAAACATCTTTCTTGAAAATCACCAGCCATAAATTGAAAAGTGCATATTAAAGCTCGTCAAAAATCACCCCAAATCAGTGAGGCTTTAGATCCAGCTGCAGAAATACTGAAATAGTATGAATTACTGATCTTAATTACATGTTGTCATTGTCTAAGCTTAGGGGAAAAAAGTGCTTAGCAAAGCTTTTCCCCAGTAAGCATGAGATGCATTTATTTAATTTTGGATTTTGTCTTTTCCTCGGAAGAGAAAGACAGAGCAGCTTTTATCATACTTTTGTATGATTTCCGTTTGATCCAAGCATTTATTGAAGAATATGAAAACAAAGAAACTAGCAATAACAGTCACGAGCATGGTCTGTCTAGAGTATCTTTAAAGGTTTTTTTCATGCTTTGGAACTCATTTGTTATCCCTCTTTCTTTTTTCTTTAGAGATATTAGGAAATTTAAAGATGCAAAGAAACAATTTGAAAAAGTTAGTGAAGAAAAAGAGAATGCTCTAGTAAAAAATGCCCAAGTTCAAAGAAATAAACAACACGAAGTAGAGGAAGCAACTAATATTTTGACTGCAACACGGAAATGTTTTCGACACATAGCTCTGGATTATGTTCTTCAGGTAAGTGCAGCAATAAAAGTTATTTTTCAAAACCATGTTATATAGAGAGATCTGTCCTTTAGAAGTTCTTATGGTAAGCTTCTCAGAAGCTGTGGAGATTCAGTGAAAAAGGAAGAACTTTGTCTGCAAGTAATTTCTTTTTTTAATGAAATCTGAGCAAAATTAATTTACTTGATGCATTCTTACTGCTCAATGCTTCGGTATTCAGTGTTGTTGCTATAATGACACAGTTTAATTTTAAACTTGAACATTCATTTTGAAAAAACAGTGTTTGCTTGATACTTACCTAAATGTATTTTGTGAGTTACCTATGCTGTAGTTCCTTATATATTTGAAGTAAAAACTGTAACCTAGCCTAGGAAATACAAATTACCTGAATAATTCTGATATAGGATGTTGGCTACTGCTACAATTTCAGCCATTTGTTTTCAGTTTTATTTAACAAATCCTACTTGTCTAGAAGCCTTGGAGTTTGGCATTGTGCCATAGGGGAAATCAAGAACTACTCTTTTGCTTTTTAGTGCAGCTCTCCATCTATAGGGTGTTGAGAGGTGTTCTTTGTCCTGCTACTTTGAATCCTGTGAAATAATCCTAAATTTTCTGTCGATACTTACAAATCATCTGTTTCATAGTTACCCACAACTACAGCAAAACAGGATTATTGCAACTTGGATGGTGCAAGGGGCTGGGGGCTCCTAAATGGGTCTGAGCTTCTCCTATGATCAAACACAGAACAATCCTTTAAAATTATGTTAGTTTTATATTAGACGTTATCATCTTGATTTGTGACAGTCCAGTCAGTTATTTAAAGCTTAGTTAACCGTTCTTTAAGTTGCATGTATTACCGGTAAAGTGAAATGGAATCAATCTGACCAGCCCAGGCAAGCGCACAGATACGGTGGTCAGTGGTCAACACTGAACTCCTGCCATTTGTACACTAAGGACAAAGTTCATTTTGATGTTTAAAAAGTCATGTGAATTATGTACCACTTGATTACTTGTACTGACATCAAATAGTAGTGGGGCAGGGGGGAAAGCTGGCAGTCATTATATAGGCCAATTCCTTCTGTGCGCACTGAACTGCAGATTGTTTGCCTTCTGGAATTTGTATGTTCAAAGTATGAGCAGTTTGTGTGATAAAGTTGCATTTATAGTAGCAGGGAGAAGTTTCAGCATCTCTTAATTAATGCAGGCAAAAATGAATTCAGCTTTAGGAATTCTTTCTACTTGGGTGACTCTTTTCTTCTGGAAAGGTGGCTTCACAGCTATGGTCTCTTTGTAGCTATATTGGCTTTAAACTGTACTGCAAAACCTTTGCTTTCCTTCCCCCTTGCCTTTCCCCCCCCCCCCCCCCCCGCAAGTTGAGGGTTTGTTCTATACAAACAAATCTTAATTATTTTTGCTGCAGAAGGTTTTCCAAAATACTGACTATTTAAGTATAGAAGTACAATCTGGTTTTGATTATAGCTTCAGTAAGTTTATTTCTTTTGCTGGAATCTTAAACTGACATAGAGGTGTTAAATTACAAAATCATGCATGTTTCTGCTAAATGGGACTTTTAAAGTAAAATCCGTAGTTCTGGATTAGGGGACAAAGAGGATAGAGGAAGTAAGTGAATGTGAACAATCAGTTATTTTTTCTATGTAATGTGAAATTCTTTGAGTTCTAGGGCAACACCATGGGTTAGTGACTTCAGCTAGCTTAAAAGTGCTAGAATATATGCAAAGTTACTTACTGAAATGATTACGATCTTGCTTGTTTCAGAGGCTGGGGCTGTATCCCATTTTTGGGACACTTTAGACAATGCCAGCCCGGGGGGCGGACATGCTCCTGTCCTTTTGTCTCCTCCGGCAGGAGATGGCAGTGGTGCTGAGTGCAGCTTCTTTAAGAAGTTGGTGAGCTGGGTTAGCTTACACTGTCAGAAAGGGTATTTGAAACATGTTGAATTCAATCTCTTGAAAATGGGTACCAATTTTCCTTGCTTGAAAGGTGTATGATACTACTTCTAGCTAGCATGTGGTGTCTTTATATTTTCCCTTCTAACATAAGCAAGTTGTGACTATCACTGAAATTCTAGCTTCACAAGCTTTTTCTGATTGTGTCACTTAAATACCATGACAAAACTAGCACGCATCTTCTTTTAATAAGTGCTTTGTGAAGTCTGGTATTGAGTTATGTTCTTCTAATGTTTTAAGCTTTGATATGATTACTTGGAAGTAATTTGAAGTTTACTTCTGTGGGGAAAATTTGCAAGTAGAATAAAATAAGTTGCTTGTTTGGTTTTTTTGTCTGTTTTTTTTCCCCTAGATCAACGTTCTTCAGTCTAAGAGGAGAGCAGAAATCTTAAAATCAGTAAGATATACTTTATTTTCTTTATGGAAAATATTTAAATACATCTGAAATGAAAAATGTGACTGCAAAGCAGTATATTAAAAATTTAGTCCTTTTACCCATGAAAACATTACCAGTACATTTGGCACTTTGGTGGCAGTCAGTTTGGCCTTTACTGTAACTGGGCATAGATGCTTAACTGGTTTTGGCAATCCTTTTGGTTCAGTTTTGAACACTTTAAGGTTTTCACTGCTGTTGAGTCTTTGGTATGTGTTTCATGGTTAAAATCAAACTTTGTCTGCCAAGAATTCTGCTGTTTAGCTCTGCTATATTCATTTATAAACAGTAAGTACTTACAATCTATTCTAAGATGGATTAATCTCTTTCTACAAAATGGTATTTTTTATGTACATAGCATATTGTAACAGCAAATATACAATATGCTTTAGTATGGTATCTGCTAAATTAATATACAGCTGTATCTGCATGCTAGTTTTCTTCTGATTGTATTCCACTTTCTGCTTCATATTATCTCTGTAAAAAGTTTACTGAGGTAGAGACTGCCAAATTAAATGGTGCTTTTCTTTCAAAGGTCTAAAGTTGCACTCCCATAATTTCCTGGATTCCTTTAAATAAAAAAAACTTTAGTTGGATCACAGCTTTATAGCTGCTTGCCATTGTGCTCTGCAACTTCCCAACTTTTCTTTTTTAAGACTGGGCAGTCTTATCAGCTATGTCCATAAAGGTTATGGTTTTGGATCATTAGTAAATATACTCTGTAGCCCCTCTCTAACTTACATGTCCTAGTTAAACAGGAGATAACAAAAGTTTCAAGTGACATGAATTAGAACTAATTTTCTGCCCTTAAGCAGATTTATTTTGTTTTGTTAATGGAGTTAATCCTATTATCTAATTTCTGAGATTTTTGGCTTGGTTCTTTGCTGTCTTCACCTTACATGTTTATTTACAACATTGGAAGCTCTATGAGATACTGATATAAAATTGCTAGGACGCAATAGAGCACAAATTAATCCTGGAATTGTACTTTAAGTTTGTTCATGTGGATTAGTTAAGTGATATATTTATGTGATATCCAATGTATATTTATCCTTTTAAAAAATACACTTTTTTTTCCTTCTAGATGTTATCATTTATGTATGCCCATCTGGCTTTTTTCCATCAAGGCTATGATCTGTTTAGTGAACTTGAGCCCTACATGAAAGACCTTGGTGCACAGGTAACAAATTACTTCAAAAATTCATAACTATATGCTGGAGTGGATGAAAACTTGATGTATGTGTACACATCGGGTACGTCATAGATTTATTCAACAAAAAGGGAACTGTAGTGTGATAAAGGCAGAGCATAAAAATACACTGTAAGTGGTTTGAATGAAAATAGAAACTGAAAGTTGTCTGTTTACTAAAATTAATACTACCTTTAGGATTTACATACTTAAACATAGCCATGTAGTGCCATTTGAGGTACTCGGGTATTCAGGACACTGGATTATTTTGTTTTAAATTTTTTTGTATATGACCCATGTTATAAATATATTTAATAATAAAAAGTAGATTAGTGTTTTTTTCTTCTACTTGCCTACATTATTGACTGTATAAATTTTGCAGTGTGCCAAAAATAAAATTGATGTTAGCAACTTAGACCACAAACCAGAAGTCTGATTTTAATAAGTAGTGCAAAACTGAACTCATACACTGAATCCTTCTTGCCCAGTTTTGTTGTTGAAGTTTAAGAACACACAATTGCAACTTCTGGGTTTTCAGTGACGGTCTCATAAAAAGGTTAGATGGACCACAGCCAACTGCACACAGGAGATGTTGAAAGTGGTTATGCAAAATAGATTAAGAACATACAGTATTCAACTGGAGATCTGTCTGTGGTGCAGGAAGAAGACTCAGCAGTGTCTTAAGACTTGTTTTCAGTGCAAGTTGAATAGGCCTGGAAATACTTGTACAACACCTTTTTTTTTTTTTTTTTGCCTCTATCCAAGGATTTGCAACAACTACACTGATGCAAAACCCTCTATTGCTACTTCCCAGCCTGATCCACAAAACAAAGCCAACCCTAATTCTAAGTGTCTATCTAGATACAAGAGCAAATAAATGACAGCAAACATTTATTTGCATTCGTCTCAAGTAGATACGTCATTGAATGTCTAAGAAATTACATTGTTCTGAGCTGGTTATTCCTGTCACAGCGCTCTTGTAATCTGTGCCCCTCAACCTGCTTCTGTGTCTGCGCAGTGAAGCAGATTGGGAACTGTAGAAAATAACTCCACAATCAAATGTCTGTAAATAGTTACTTTTCTGCTAGGCTAGTCCCCAGTCAGGTTACTGTGGGTCTTAATTACTTGTACAAACACATGTCAGGAGGTGTGTGCTCGTGTGTGTGCATGCGTGTGGCGAGCACGTGATGGAGCTAAGAGAAACGGGCTGCTTGAACTGGCACTGCCGTCAAAAAGCAAAGTGACTGTGCAGCGATGGTACAGCTACAGCCCTCCGTGTGTGGTGTAATAGCGGCACTTGAAAGGTTCAGGTGCACATGACTCTGTCCTTAGTTGTGCCTTCTATTTTATTATTTCACATCCTTCCATTTTGGGTTGTAATTGTTGAACTCTAGTGTGTTGATAGTATAGAATGTGTATCCTGTACCTTTGCAGAAGAGGGGATGGGGAAAAGAGACAAAAACGATGGAGTTAGTAGTGGTTTATGCTACCAGCTAGCCTTTAATGTTTCCATTTCATTGAGATTATTTGAGCAAGGAACGCAAGGTTATTTTTGAATGGCTGGTCATCCTTTTGCTTAATCTGGTAAGGAGCATTGTGTAACATTCATTTCAGTGCCAGTATCGTAGCAACTGAAGGAGTTCAATTTAGAAAACTGGAAGCTGAGAATGTTTAAAATATATTGCAATTGGAGCAAAGATAGACTGAAGACCCTAAAGTTGTACAACTTGCTGAATTATACTTGTGGCAGACCTTGACATTTAGGTAATGGATATTTTTCATGATAGAAGCAGACTTGTAAATAGCTTATGAAAGTTTTACCAGTTAATGGCTTTGCAGTTTGTATTGGTTGAAGCTTCTGCCTTTAACAGGTCAGAGAGAAGGTATGCTGTGACATAACAAAACAGGGGTTTGCTAGATTTTTCTGAAAATACTGTCAGATTTTTTCTGTTGGTGAGTTTTCATTCCCAGGTAAATTTTGTTTATGATCTTAATTACAACATTTAACAGCTCCTGAGGTATTAAAATTGAAGTGATCTTAAATAGTACGGTTATAATTTTTAATTTCTTTTTTTTTTTTTTTGTATTTTCAAAATAACCGGTTTACGTGACAGAATAGGATTGAGCAGTTCTGCTTTCTGGGTATTTTAGGTCAGGGTAGCATTACTGGTGAATCAGATTACTGTAGGGGAATCCTTAATGGCACACAAGTGTAATACAAGCTTTGGCACTTTTCATGTGAAACGTGGTATTAGTTTAAAAAGAAAACCTACTTGAATTTTCATTCTGAGATGACTGTTCAAAAAGCTAAACATTTTAGCCTGACTTAGTTCTGTACAGAATACCACTTAGAACACTACATGTTTATAAAAATGCATTTATCAGTAAATGCAGTATTTTGAAAAACCTAATTTTTTTGAAGACTACCCAGTAGCGGTATAATGACTGGGATTTTGATAGTTAAGTTGTGTGATTGGCCACAGCTCTTGATAGTTGTATGCTGCTGTTCTTATTTTTAAGACAGTTGATGTGCTGCTGACCTGAGTAAGAAGAAGAAATTCTGGTCTGAGCTTGTAGACTGGAATTGATGCAATGTTTTCTTGATAGTAAAAACGTAAATGATGAAATGAGCTGCTGTTAAGAGATTTTTGGCACTTACGCTGTGGTAAATGTATCCTCAAACACTTCAATTTAAAGATTAATTAGAGGTAATGGCCCTGATCCGAACGTGGCTACCTTCTGTTTGATCTAGCAGGGTAGGAGGAAGAATTTTGGGGGGGCCATGTGCAGATTCCTGAATCTGAGGTTTTAGCAAGAAACTTGATTCCTGTAAAGTCTTGAACGGCCCTTGGACCAGTGCCCATCTTTATCACAAAAGAACTGGTTTCCCAAGGTTCTTGGTGCAAAACAGTCTTTGAGCACAGTGGCAGCCCAGTCTCTGTTTTAAAGACTTCTAAAACAGATGGACTACTTCTATCATTTTAAGTCTCATAGCTACATAAATATGACGTCTGGACACTTCACTCTTTAACGTGTTCATCTTCACAAATACTTGTAAGGTGTGAAAGTGCTGGTATAGCCATTTGAGCCAGAGAAGAAGCCAGGGAGAGAAGAGTTAACAAAAGTAACAAAGTATGGAATTGGATCCAGATGTTCCAACTATCTGACAGCTCCTTAATTGTTGGAGACTGTCTAACACAGGCTGTAAGAGCTAGTTGTTGTCCCTTTTTTTCCTCTCATTTATATCATTTCAAGGAGGGGAAATTCAACACTGGGGAAAATGACCAGAGTTGGCAGGGGTTCTCACTTGTGGTTATGAGAGTGGGTGGAGGCGATCCTATTTGTGTGTGAATTAGAGGTTCTGTTAGTCAGAGTGTGCCCTCTGCCACGTGACTGACTTGAGCTGGAAAACTGCTGTTGCACACTGTTCCTGGTCTCCTTGTTCTAGGCCTGGAATAGAATGAGGTCTGTCCCACAGATGTAAAGCTGCGGGCTGTACCGCTGTGTTCAGTATTGCATCTGCATCGTTATTCAGTAAGATGCTGTGACTGGGGTTAATGGCAGTCTTGTATTACAGGCTGAATAAAAGAGGAGCTCATCAGATTCCATAGCGTGTCACATAACTACCAAACTAACTGGTCTTTTAGGCAGCATCTGCTCCTCCACTTCACCATATCACTTATTTAAAGATCAAAACCAGAAAGGGCAAACCCCCAACCTACCAAACCCAAAACTTACTCTCTTACAGGTTATCTTAAACTTCCTACCTTTTTTCCTTCTGGTTTTAAAAGGCAAAAGTTTATATGGTAGTGCTATGGACATGGTTGCAGCAAGTTTTTGGTAGCGTCTTTTTTTATTATCACAGACTTTGTAAGGATGCTAACTTAAATCCTCTCTGTTGTGACAGTCTCTCTTCTTTGCAAAATCATATTGTTGTTATTTCTGAAACTAGAAACAGTTTGAATGAGTCTACCTAATATTTCAAGGAATCTTGCTCAAATACTGCTGGTGACCTGATCAAAACTATCAATACAAAAGCCTGGTTGAGGCAGTTCCCCCGCTTTGTGGAGGGGAAAAATCAGTAGCATTTGCTCCTTCTAGTTTTTGCTGCTAATGCCGGTGCTGCTGCATAGGCCAGTCAGCCAGCAAGAGCAGCTAAAGCATGAGTCATTCTCTTCGGAGGCTGAGCACCAATGCGGTATAGAGTCGCATATGCTTGGCACCATGCTGTTCTTTGAAACATTTCTTCTAAGGCTTACAAGAAATGTACACCTTTCGTAGAGGTTAATTCAGGATGGTAGTGCAGTGCTTTAAACGAGGCTTCAGTGGTTTTTCAAGGTAAACACTTTGACCAGAGAAGTAATTATATTATGCAAATAAAACAAGTCATGCAATGTCTAGACATAATGTGTTCTTTTTTGTCAGCATTATGAAATCTACTGAGCCAAATTTCTCTTGATATCTAAAGATCCAATTTTCTGTTTCTCTTTACAGCTGGATCAGTTGGCTGTAGATGCTGCAAAGGAGAAGAGAGATATGGAGCAAAAGCACTCCACTATTCAACAAAAGGTACTTGAGAGAATGTAAAAGGCAGACTGCACACACATTTTTGTATCTCTAGCATCTCTCCCCAGCAGTGCATCTCTGCATTGGAACTGTGAGGGATGGTATCTTCAGTGCAGAGAAATAGACTTACACATCATTGAGCATAGGGTTGGATCGCAGATACTCATTTTGTATTACAGAACAGAATTTTATGTTTAGTTTTGACTGAAACATAAATAGAACAGTAGAATTCATTTGAATGCTGTGACTCTTACATTTCATTAGAACTCTTAATTCCTATTACATCTTCGATTCAATATAAAAGTTGCTATCTTCCCCTCCTGTGTGTCTGTAGAAGAGGTGTGTCTGCTGCACAGACCTGCTGTCATATGTATCACTTTCTGGACTGTGCCAGATATGAGTGCAGCACTTTGATGTAGTTTGGCAGCTGCTGTTGCATATAAACAGCAAAAGTAAACTTTTGTAAAGGCTGTCTAATGTGTGGTGTTCAACTGTACACAAATACGAAAGTCATAACATTAAATTGCTGTTTTGGGAAGATTTGTATGTGCAATAGTTCTTATTTTTGCTTGTTGAGAAAAATGTAGATAAATCATGTTGCGGGGGGAATGACTTCTGTTGTTTGGATGTTTCAGAAGCTCTAGATCAGTATTGGTTTTGCAGGTATAATGCTAGAAGTTAAAAATATATCCACTGAACTCTCCGGTAGTGAGCTAATACTGCAGGTACTTTTGAAAGGGATTAGATACCAGTTTAAAGGTAATGCAACACTTCTTACTCTCATTCAAATACATTCTGTATCTGTTCAGGTGACATAAATTAAAAAAAAAAAAAAGCCTGATGTAAATGAAATCTGAGTAAATAACATGTTTTCATTCTTGAATTTAAGATTATAATTGTAGGTAGCCTTAGTAGGAGTCAATACTAATGGGAAAAGGTAACACTTTTGGTTGCTGAAAATGTTTTTGTCGCTTCATCCTGTCATTCCTGCAGGTGTTGGTGGGAAGCATTAGGATTGCTGTAACTGTGAAATTGCGCAGACACCATGATGGGTTTTAGGGCAGAGCTGATGTGCTGTGTTTGGAGACAGACAGGAGATAACTACAGGCAAGGAAGGGGAAGAAAGAGGGGAAATGGGAAAGAGATGGAGCTTGAGAATGAACATGGATGTTAAAATTTTAATCTGTTTGGGCTCAGTAGGCCTAGTTTCAGGAGTGGGCAGAAGTTGAGGGTTCTGCTGTTACAGAACAGTGGTGCTTGGTGAAGGATGTAAGTTATGGGCAATTATCTTTTAATTGGCCGTAGAAGTAATAACTTGTTACCGTAAATTATGGTCATTGCTGTTGCCAATGGTGTTTACAGTCTCTGTTTTTTCTTCGAATGCTGCTTAAGGCTGCTTTACAGGTAAAGTCCTTCTAATAGTATTAATAGTTATTGAAACTTCTAAGGTTCATGAAACTTGCTAACTTTATCTGTGTGTAATATAAATATTCTTGGGTTTTAGTACAAATGGCAATCATAATGAGTTTGTATATTGTTCCTTACTATAATTGAATGACAATTTTACGCTGTCTCTAAAATATAATCAGGGCAGTCAGATTGTGTTGTATGTTGTCCTCTGAAGTTCTGTGTTTCAAGTTGTATATGTTGTCTCCTGTCCTTATCAGTGAAATCATTGATGCATTTTGGTGGTGATAATGCCTAGATTAATGTGTATAGGCTTTGGAGGGGATGCTTTATTAGAGATTCCTTTTATAGCTCATCAAATCATTTTCTTGGTTTCTTAATCAAATCATTGTTGTCTGATTGTTTTTTGTCTCCTCCTACTTGCTTTTCCCAACCTTCACACCTAGTGTGCTTCCAGCTCATCAATCCTGAAGTGCCTTAGACCTTGAATCTTGTTCTTTATATCACTATTTGTCATCTGGTGAACCTGAACAGGATGACAACCTTGTTCTCTGTTCTATTCTCATGGCTTGTCATATTGCTTTCTACCGGGCTGCCTCTTAGGCATATGTTCCTGAATCTTACACAGCCAAATCCTTCCTTGTTTTATAACTACTGAAACTTCTGCTTCTTTTGTTGAATATTCCATGAGGTATATATGCATTTAATACACTGAAGTTTTAATCTAATGCTTCAGAATGATGCCTTTTCTTCATTGTGTGGATAAAGAACAGTTCCTTTTCTGAAATGTATAGGTAAGTGCACATGTGCACACACCTACCCACCCACTACCTGTGTTTGCATATATATGCATGCAGAATAATTGCACTAATTAAATAACTCATCTCACTTTTCTTTATAATCATCATCCTATTTAATATAGGCTGTTGTCTGAGAGGCTGATACAAAAGTCATGGAAGGGATTGGTCACCACTATAGTTTGATTTCTATTTTAAAAGAACTGTTGTCTGATTTTTTTGTTTGTTTGTTTTAACTTGTGTTCTAATTACTTAGCAAATATGCAGGAAACAATTTTTTAGTGTAAGAAATTATTTTTTCTGTATTAATCTGGAGCAACACATACTATGAATTAATGTAGAAATGTCATGATCATTCTGGGAACTTTTTGGAATATATTTCTATAGGGAAGGATTTATATCGAGTGGTGTCACAGTGTCACAGAGCAGTTTGCAGCCCATTGCTGTAGTAACATGTTGAAATAAGAAATAATTTAAAAATCGGTTGGACCTGTAAACAGCATCATGGCTTTTTGGTTTTGTGACAGAGGTAATGTTTTGTTCTAAAATGAGGGAGGTGATACAGGAAAAATATTTGCATTGAACTTCAAATAGTTTTCGTTATATTCAAATCCCTTTTTCATTAAAAAAAAAAAATCTGCATCTGAAGAACTGCTCAGGAAACAGCTGCAGTGAGAATGATTCCAAAATTTTTAACACCTTGAGTAAACAAGGTGATAGGAAAACATGCTACGACAGTCATAAAGCAGGCATAAACCAGAGCTGCTATTGAGAAGTAGTGCAAACTAATTCCTGTCTCAAAAAAACAAAGATGTGCCAGTATTTCAAGCAACTTGTCTGCCCAGTGACTATCTCATCTTCTTTCACTTTGTCTTGGACTGTAAACTTGTTACTTGTTGTGTCTGTTGTTGTTTTAAGCCTTTCCTTAAGGGACTTTCAACTTAAGCATGACAAACATCTCTTCTGCCTATGGGATGGGAATAGAAGCAACTTTCTAAATGGGGGGGGGGGTTGCACAGTTAGTGTCTTCTGTTTAGTATATGCTGGAGTAACTTTTCAGATTAGTGTTTTCTTTGGTACTTATGCTCCCCCATTTACTGTCTCTTTAAAAACTTTAAAAATTCTGGTTCTCTAGAGTAAAAAACATATTGAATACATACTCAATGTTAAAATGCTGATACTCACACTCCCTAAGATTTCCATGCTTTCGTCCTGCTAGCAATCCTCATATTGAAAGTAAATCAAAAACTCTGCTGCTGAAAAGTATGGGGGTTTATGTTTTGATAACAAGGAAATTATATGTAGAGAAACAGAAAACATGCAAGCTACAAAATGAATCCAGTATGTGTGATAAATTGATAAGTTCATATGAAAATGCATTCACTGAAACACTGTCAAGAATAGTAAGTATTCTGTGACCCACAAGATTAGTATTAATTGTGGAAATGAAAGTTGTTTTTTCCATTGCCAGCTGATTTGCTATCACTCATGGATATTTAAAGGAAAAAAAAAAGGCATGAAAGCATGCTGTACGCTTCACTTGTATCACCCACTTCTACATGTTTCTCTTCCAGTAGCTGGCCAACCTTGAAAAATGTGTATCAGAATAGAAGCCATAGCTATTCCTTTCTTCAAATCTGAATGAAATGTGCAATATAGCACTTCAGGGTAACTTTCATAATACTGGCTTAATTTTCTTAGTTCTGATTAGGTGAAATATACTTCAGTCCTAACTGACACCTAATAAATAAATAAATTATGTTTAAAATTCAGTCTTTATCAGCTGCATGTTTGCTTAAGGAATACAAAATTCTGAATCACATAAAGTGACTGGGTTTATTAACATGTGATTCTCTTATGCAGGACACTGGAAAGATATGGATGTATTTCTCTCTACCCCCTGACTATTTTTCATGATTCACTAAACTTTTCCATGAGCCAAGATAAAAATAAACTATAATGTGACTGCTTTTCTCCTATTCTTTAATTATAAAATAGCAGAGACTGTAAGATCAGACATGGCTTATCTAGTTCCTTTTTCTACTTTTATCAATGAATTTTTCTGGGTAAAGCATATGGAAGCTTTACTCCCTTGTCCCCCAGTTGGTAGTCTGCTATCTATAGTTAGGAAAATACTAAACATTTGTCTGTATACTGTTGTGCCTTTATCTCCTCTATAAAGGTGGAAGTCAATCAGGGAAGCCATTAAAAATGACACTAAATGCACTTCATGAGGAAGGCTCAGTATTTTAGACAATTTGGACTGAGTGTAGCATGATAAATGATCCAAAGGAGTTTTCCTGTCATGCTTGTATATGTCTTCAAAGCGTAAATCTAGATTCGTTGGAAAAGACAGTTGCATTTTCTGCAGCAGTTCTCCAAACCTGGAGGAAAATATGATTACATAGTAGTTGGGACAGAAAAGACTGAGGGGAATGTATGTTGTCTTTCACTAGACAAGGAGTTGCAGGCATCATTGAGGCAGGAAGATGCAAATCTTTAGCAGGTTTCATTATGTTTGGGAGCTGGTAAGTTGGAGTAATTTATCAGGTTTTTGGGGAGGGGGGCAATATGACATCAGTCTGTCTAAGTCTGTGTTTATAGGGGTTTTCTCCTTGGGTTGGTTTGGTTTTTTTTTTTGAGGGGATAAGAAAAAAACAGAAAGAACTTTTAATGCTTTGAGAATGTTTGTGTTTGTCATAAGTTGTGAAATACTAAGTTAAAATTGTACTGTGATATTTGGCTGTTTGTGCTTATGTGAAGTCTTTAATGTTCAGCATGTTCTGATCTAGAAAACAGGCAGAAAATAAAAATTATTAAATACTGAATAATAAATCCTGTGATTTTTGAGAAGCTTTTATTTGCAACCTCTAAGTTTATTCAGATCAGTATATGGTAGTGATACAAGAGTTCCATTTTCTTTTGGAACTCTTACTTTTGCACTCACCTTCTGCCAGTGAATTAATAAAAATTTGGATTTAACATTTCAAAGGTAGTTAATTTATTCAGCTTGATAATAGCTGAAAACACTGTCAGTTATGGAATTTGGTGCTGTGCTGGCCTGGGAGTGTAAAGGGCCCATTTTGATATTTGTAACCACTTCACTGTCTTGTTTAATTAACCTTGGACTGGACCAAACCACCTGCATGTATAAGAGTAAACATCACATGTAGCAGAAAAGTTGTGTGCAGACTGGAATATATTACATAGGGCTAATGGTATTGGTTTTGAAGCTGATTTTTTTTTTTTATACCCTCTTTTCCCATATGTATAGACAAATAATCTAAGGAGCAAAGTACAAAACAGATTTACAGACATACTTTTCACACAAAACTGATGTTTGCAATGTACAAAAAGTACCTGCTGAAGGTATTGGAGTGTGACATTATGAAATGTCCCTCATCTTCAGTATTTAACCTGGGGTTTTTTTTGTTCTGAAACTTAATTTTCAGTGACGTGTCTCTTGTGCTCTAGTTAAGGGGAAAAAGCCATATATTGCTAGTCTACTTTTAAGGATATATTTTACTAACAGTGAAATTAAATCATAGCATGTATATTATTTTGATCTCTGGACATAGCTTATGATAAATGATGCCATTCAATGTGTGCATTTTCATGCACCCCTGGTAGCTGTTAGCCTCCCACTCACTGAATACCTGAGCTCCGTAGCTCCCTGGGAAGAGTCCCTGCTGTTTCAGACGAGATATGAAAGCAAATAATCAGCACGTGTATTACCATTTAGTCTACCTTTGCTGGATTTGTGAAGCAGTTAACCTTTCTAAAACTTGTAAAGCTGTTATTAACTGTTATTAGCTGTTATTATTTGTTATTAAATTGAAATGTATATTCCCTTGTCCTACTTACAGCTTCATATTCTTAAAGACCATAAAGCAAAAAATTAGTGCTGAGTTCTTGTCATCATTGCCATCACCCTGACAGCTTTAGAATCATAGAATCATAGAATCATCTAGGTTGGAGAAGACCTTTAAGATCATCCAGTCCAACCATTAACCTACACTACCAAGCCCACTCTAGACTAATCAAGGGTAGACCAGACTAAACCATATCCCGAAGTGCCACATCTACCCGTTTTTTAAACGCCTCCAGGGATGGGGACTCCACCACCTCTCTGGGCAGCCTGTTCCAATGCCTGACCACCCTTTCCGTAAAGAAATTTTTCCTAATTTCCAGTCTAAACCTCCCCTGGCGCAGCTTAAGCCCATTTCCTCTTGTCCTAATAGAATCATAGATTTAATTTAGAGATAACTAATAATTTAGAGATAACTGATAGCATCCTCTTTATTTGCTTACTGGTCTTATAAGTTCTGATCCGGCCCACTTGTCAAGGTGACAGAGCTGAAGAAAATGCTAAAGCACGACTGGCTCTATACAGTTGTCTGCAACAGGCTGCAATTGCTTTTCAGTTTTGATTCCTAACTCCCATTGCCACTTTTCTTCTACCTTACTCTCCCCTTTCTTTGGAATATGTGAGACCATTTGAGCAGACAGTTGAAGCATCAGGTGCTCTGTCAGTAATGTTTGGCCATACATATGGCCTCTACTTGGCCATAGAGGTCACCGATACCTAAGCAAGAAATTCCCCTTGTGTGCAGGTAAAGTAAGAATCTTCAGCATTCTGATCTCCTAAAAATGCTTTTTTAAAAAAAAAATTCAGGGGTTGCAAGTCATGGCTTGACTAGTAAGTGTTGCAAGCAAAACATTATTCCTAAATGTTTACTCTTTTTGACAGTAATACTGCCAATATTTGAAGTTTCACTTGAAACTGCGATGTCTTTTTCTTGTCTTGTTCCTTTGTACTAGGATTATTCCAGTGATGATACTAAACTAGAATACAATGTAGATGCAGCCAATGGTATTGTTATGGAAGGTTATCTATTTAAGCGAGCCAGCAATGCCTTCAAGACTTGGAACAGGTAATTATTCAGAACCTCTATTTACTAGCTTATTAAAATACTGCTTGTTAAGCTAAATTCTGATCTGACTTATAATCTATGCAATTTACTGATTCCACAGTTTTGACGGAACACTTGGACGACTCTGTTAATTAATGTAGAAATGACACTCCAAAGCCAGTTTTCCTTATTTTCTGTCCTAGTTGTTTGCAAGCCTTTTTCTAAGAGTGTATCTTAGTTTGGAGAAGTCCTATGTATGGAAAGCTTGCTTTGTTGTGCAGAGTCTGGCTCTGTAATTGCATTTTGGTCTTTGGGGTTGAAACAGCAATCCTTATGATTGTATACAATAAGCTATGTGAAAGTACATGCTGGGAAAGTAAGTGTTAGAGGACAAAGTAAAATGTTGTATAGCGGTTGGAAGCAGGAAAACACAGTGAAGGACTCAAGGACTCAAGTTATTTTTCCTGAAAGATAAGCATGTAATTGTTATCCTTTACAATTTCTGTCCTGTGCAGTGACTTCTCCTTAGTAGTTTTAATGGTCCTGTTGGGAATTCAAAATATGTTGTTAGTCATGCCTCTTTACCAAGGTATATTTTACTATTGTTTAAATATTTTTCTCCCTGAACAGGATTTCTTTTGCATTTCCAAGGGTGTATGCTTTTTTCAAGGAAATATTATATATGCTGGAGCATTTACATTAGTTAGATACGGTTCTTGAATTTGAAAGTTAATTTATTGTGGTATAGAGCTCTTTTTACTGTCATACTCTGCAATTTTTACAGCAGTGCTTCTGTTAAACTATTTGCTGCGTTTCAAAGACCAGAATGTGGATTTGGATATGTAGTCCCTTCCAACCTTAATTATTCTATAATTTGTTGAGCATCTTGGAACACCACAAGTCTATAACAAATTGGGATTGCTTCGCTTAAACCTGTAGACTCATGCAAGGGCCACTGGCATCAGTAAGTCTGTATCTGTATTAGCAAGTCATGTGCAACTAGTATAAGGGATTTTGGTTTGGACTACTTCTAGTCTGGTCCTGTGGTCTGATTATCTGCCTGTAATTGTAATGTACCTTCTGGGTTAGTTTCATCCAAGCAGAATTTGGAGTTCTCCAAGACAAATCTGCAAGGCATCAAAGGACGGTGAAGGGAGCAAACTGGGAGAATGCTGCTAAAGCACATTCCTGGTCTGAAGCAAAACGTTAGTTTAAGCACACTGAGAAAAATCCACAGTAACAGGGCAGGAGATTGTCCTTTATTGGGTTCTCAACAGGCTGAAAGGGTCCTTTTTGCAAGATGTTTTGGAGGATTGACTGCAGCCTCTTGATAATTGACTGAAGGCAAAACTGACTTGCTTTCTGGGTTCTTTTGGATAGTATAAGGGCTTTGCTTTGTAGGGAGGTAAGGGGAGGGAGCAGGGCAGGAGTGTTGGAAGGTAGCTAAAGAAATTCTTCTTCCACAAGGCTTCATACCTAGTAATACTGGACATGTATCTTACCTTAAGGTGGTTAGGTAGTAGGATTCAATTAAAACTAACTTCTGTATGTTGGAAATTTAAATGAAGACAAAATAAATATGGGGAAGTCATAATTAAATCAAGATACACAATGACATTCTTTCAGGTTAAGGTACAGGTTTGAACATATATAATAAAAATATATCCAAACAATAAGTTATTTAAGAGAGCCAAGGTAAGCAGCTCAGTAATGAGTCAGAGCTACCTACTTTTACTATATAATTTATATTTGCTTATAGTTTCTTCTGTTTTTCACAGGAGTATTTAATAACCTTAACCTTTTTTAACCTTAGATTATTGATAATTTATCTCCCTGTGATATGATAGCTGGATGCTTCAGAATTAGGCAGAGAATAGCATTGGATGTGCTATCTATAAACACTGTTTAGAAATTGAATCGATCAATTTTGTACTTCACATTAACAAACCATTACTAATTGTTATGAAACTACTACTATTATACATAAAATATACATTTAAGACCTTCTTAATGAAGACAACTATTAGGTTCTGAATCTAACCCCATTTTTCATCTTTAACAAAAATAGAGAAGTATTTTAATCTCATTCTTACTTCTGAATACATTTGTAACTGCTTGCTACGTTGTAGGCACTGAAGTGGTCGTTGCCACTTTTCGCTGTGTGTTTCCACTGATGGAATGCTTTACTTATGTAGTATTGCAGTTTCAGCTGCAGGGAGATAATACTGATTAAAATTTACTGTATATTAGAGGTGAGAGTGGTTTTTCCAGTCACTAGGTAGAGTACAAAAAAGGACTGTGTTATTGCATTAAACTGTTTTGTGTGTAAAAAATGTACAACGAAGTACCAAAGGAGGAAACAGAGAATTATGTATTTTATATGAGGGAATTCAGAGCTGAAGTCAGAGACCTCAAGACAGAAAAGATATTGTCAGTGTTCTCATTGACTAGGTAGTTTGCTGCTTCATTATATGCCCATCTTTGGGGGAAGTGGGTGGAAAATCAACCAGCTGAAACAAAACCAGAAGAATTTGAAGTAGTACTGGAATTTCCTGATGTTCTGAACCAAGGGTGATGGAACTGATCTTCCTTGCTGGTTGCACTGTCAGTAGTAATACGTATTTAAAATAGTAGCTTCTCTTTTTCCCTCTGTTGGTATCAGTTGGTATTTTGACGGTTCCAGGCCTTTTTAAGTATTCCTTCAAGACTGAATTAAAGGCAGCAAAAATCACTGCAATTGTCACTGTTAGCTGAACTTGCCAGCGTTAAAAACATAAGAGAAAAGGAAATGGTACAATGGATTTTCTCTGGGTATGACACATATCAGTATGATTCTAGCTAACAAATTAGATAATCATGATGCTTCTGTGTGCATGTCTTGGTCAATGAATCCATGGACACCATAGTGGATTATCCTGGAAAGTCTGATTGCTGGAGGAGAAAATAATTAAAACAGTATAATGCAGCCCTTTGAAGGGGGGTAAATCTGTTCTAATGAATGATAACTTGTTTTGTTTCCAATCTGAGCTAAGTTCTTGCTAGGATGATGTCGTTTCTTCCTGGGGCAGCTGGCAGCTTGGGTTTAATTGTCTGAAGACTTCAGTTAGTTGTGCTTCTGCAGGTTTCCGGTTCTTGCGATATGTCTGCATGACACTGGCTTGAGAAACAAATAGTGTTTGAGCAGGTTACAAAGTAAACCACAAGAGCTATTTGCAATTCGATGTTGCTGTGTTTTGAAAGAGCTGGAGATTTTGCAATCTCTTTTTATTGTGACTAAATAGTGTATAATATACGTGAGTATTTCAGATAATATACTTCGGAATCAAAATTGTATCTTTATGCTGGAAAGTGACAGTAACAGGTATGGAGGCCTATTTTTTGAATGTATGTCTGTCTGTTAGTGAATGATATGTCTTACTGTACACAATTTTTCTTAAGGCATCAGGAATTGAAATCAGGTGTATTTAGTATTCTGGAGTAGGGGAAAAGCTGGTTTGGTTCCTAGAAATTCAAATGAAAAATAAGTCCATGTCATGAAGATATACATGTGTAGGGAGAAAAGCCTTTATAAATACTAGTATGTTATGAATAGCTTTGAGGTTGGATGTATTAAATGTTTTCCTTTTCAATTCTGCTGTATTTTCAGATCATGCTAATTCTCTGCTTATTTTGCTCATTTTGCATTTTTCATTCCTTCTCCTCCTTTCTCTTATGTTTTAATCCTACCCCATTTTTTCACATGACAGGAAAAAGCCAGATCACATCAGGTACCAACCAGCTTCTTTTATACCTTCCCAATGTTTCTTTGGCACGCAAAAAGCTCTTAATTAACCCTGCATTTAATTTTGATTACTTGCAATGGATGTATAAGTGGCTCAGTCTAAGAAAATAACAGAAGGATTCTGCCTGCGGTGCCAGTATACCTGCTGCGCAACACCTTTAAAAGAATTAGAAAGATTGAGTTAGTTTTAGCTAAAAAGGAATTAAAGCAAAATTTCTGCACTCAAACTTCTGAGCGTACGAGATCAGTGTTTTGACTTTTTCCAGTTGAAGTTGGCGAGATTTTTCTTATCAACTTCACTGGAAATAAAGATGTAACTTTTAAATGTTGTGCATTCTTAATCACTCTGTTTTATTTGCATGCTGATAGCAACTAGTGATGAAAACTGTTTCGTTCTGAGAATCAATCAGCATGATTCATTTTTAATGTAAAACTCAAATTTTATATTTCTTTTTGGTATTACTCTCAGTTCTCAGAAATTGGAAATGTTTTTCAATTAATTTTGTATTGTTTCCTATTTAACAAATACTCTTGAGAATTGTGTAGGTATGAATGATGGAAAACATTCAGTTTCTAAACCCAAACATCTATATTTAAGTGCTACTGAGTGAGGCAGTGCAAATTCCTTTAAGATTCCCCAAATATGTTTTCTCCTTCACCATGCTTCTCTCCTATTTTTGAAAGAATGACACGTTTAAAGAAACTTTCATAATGGTCAGTACTTACTGCACACATGCTGCCTAAAGGTTTATGAACATTAATTCTTGGAACAGGATAGGTGCGGTATACCCTATAACAGCACCTTCAGTACATATATTGCACCTCAGAAGTTCCTGGCTGTTACTACTGTAGATCCCCAGCAGTCTGTTTCCTACAGTAATGAGTAGAGTTTATTGATGATAGTTGGTTAATATGAAATAACTCAAAGTTTTGGGCCTGAATAAAACTGCTGTGGTGCTGATGTGTTGGAGGGGAGTCTGCCACTTGTATTTTTTCAGGTATACAATAAAGTGTATTAATTTTTAGTTTCCTTTGACATCTACTTCAAAAGTGTGATCTACAAGTTATGCTACATTCTAAATTGTTGATCTTGTTCATTAAGTTTCTTTAAAAAAAAAAACCCACACTTTCTGGCTGGACTGGAAAGTTCCCTTAAACAGATTTAATTTCTCTACTAGAAAAAAAAGGGGCTGGAATACTTTGAAAACTTATAGACTAGGCTTTAAAGATGACACAAATTTGTTTTACAATCTGTGTGCTCACTTATATCTAGTTGATCAGATTGGAGCTTATTTACTTTAGTACTTCACTAAATATTTGGCTGTAGACCAAATGAAGCATTGAATTAATGAAGTTAATTACAATACCTAGGGTCATTATTAGGGATTTGCTCCATTGCATGTTGTCTTGGGGCAAGGCTGCTTTTTTTTTTTAAAAACCTTTGTCACTTAGGCACTGCTTTTCATGTTTTTCTATTTGGTGTTATGCTCAAAAAAAGCCTGAGTTTATTTTCCTTTTCTAGTCTGGTTTTTGTTGAGTACCTATTTAAATAATAGCAATAACCTGCCTTATGCTCATATTTGGGGCTTAGTTACTGCATCTGTGGTTTTTTTTTTTTAAATAGATGGTAAAGGTGATACCTTTTAAATAGAAGTGACCAAAACTACTGGTGTTAATAAATTGAAAAAGTAGTTAATTTTTTGCATTATTCTGTTCAATAATCTTGACCCAAAAAATGATTGTTATGTTGGAAATCCAGTATTAAAAGAAGATCCTGTTGTTGCTTTTTAAATTAAATATATCTGCACAACATTTGAAAAGATTAATTGTTAAAAGGTAGAATCTCATCTGTCTACCAAGTACTAACTTTTCTAACAAATACTAGATTTTTTTGATTTGAATCTAACTTTTTTTTGTATATCTTCTTTTAACAACCTTTGTGTGCTTCTTTTCCTGAATGGCTTGTGGTTGAATAAATATATGGAGCCCTCTTGTTACTAATTGTAGTTAACCGTAGCTTGAAGCTCAACAGCCTGTGGAGAATTACAAGATATGTTGCAGTAAAATATTTTGTATACTGTTACCATTCAAACTAATTGTCAGTGCAGAAAACAGTGATATGTGGTATAAGTGGGGTAGTTGAGATAATTGAGGAATTATGCTATGATAGACACAGGTTCACAAAAACATAAAAGTGTAAATTTCACTGCAGGACTAAACTATTTTTTATATTTCCTTAATTTCTGTCAGTGATGATTGGTTAGCTTTTATTTTGTGCATCCCCAGAAGAGGTAGAAAGGGATGGTTACATTTGCTGTTTTTTTAATATTCAGTGGTCTGATAAAACAGTTGTTAAAGAATTCGTATTCCAAAATACAAATGATCTTTCCATACTCTATGAATTGTGTCCTATCTGAACAGGGAGTTTGACAAGGAAGGATACAGTTCAGAGGCGTTTTTAAGCATTACATTATCTTTTGGATTTGATAGGATGCCTTCATTAAATCTTTTATTTTATATTTTCCTACAAAGCTGAGGCTTAAGTTAGGATTCTACTTAAAAGGTTTCCTTGGATTTGCTTTGGTTTTGTATGCAATCTTCTTATTTCAGCATCTAAAATTTTAAATGTCAAATATAGAGAGACACTAAACCTACATGGGATAGCAACACTAGTATTTTTAGTGCCTTAGTAAGTTAGTTCTACTCTCAAAAATACTTCAGGAGTAGTTTACATAGTTTAAGCATTTTTGTTATTCAAACTGTCTGAATTTGTGTTATCAAACAATTACTTAAAATTGTAGCTTGCTGCTAAAATACAGAAGTAAATGTTCTCTGAAATGGAAATGGTTTGTGTGATAGCTTAACTAATGTTGTCGTAACATGAATGTGTTTGTTAGGACTCAAATTATTTGAACCTTGCTTTCTTTTCTGTTTTGTCTCTGCTTTCCCTTTTTTCAGTATTCTTATGAAATACTTGCCAAAACTGACTGCGGCATTACTTTTATGAATTCCTGTATGCAGTCTCTCTGTAGACTGTATGTTATCACATTTCGGTCAAATAAGCACTGTAAAATCAGTTATGTATTCTCTGGATATCTCTTTATTTGAATAGGCGCTGGTTCTCAATACAAAATAACCAACTTGTGTACCAGAAGAAATTTAAGGTAGGTATCAAAAACTGGCTTGGGATAGTTTGGGGTGTGGGTGATGGTTTTCCCGATTCATCAGGGGAAGGAGAAACAGTGCCGACATTGGCATCCTGTGTGGTCTTGAACAACCTACTGTATTTTCTAAATTACATTCTCCCTTGGTAAAATGAAACTAATAGCTACACTGACAGATTTCGAGATTCCTGCACAGTGACTTGTGAGCAGGTACTTTATTTGCTGTGGGTTTTGTTACCTTGCTGCAGAGAAGGTTTATGGAGAGCCTTAAAAGCTGTTGGTCCCAGAAGGCTTGTACACACTTGGTGGCAGGGAAATACTCCATGCTGTTCTTTCAGCAGCTGTGGTTAACTCTTTCAGGACTTGCTCTCTCCAGTTACTTACTAGGTTCACATACCTAATTTAGCAGTTGGGGAGAGAGGAGAGAGAAAAAAAAAAAGGCATTAAAGCATTTGTTATGAAACAGTCAGGGATGCTATATAAATGTGTTTAATACCGAAAATGTAAGGTTGTTCAGCAGTCAGTATCTGTATTTTTGCTGGTGGGAAAGTACAGTTGTATCTTACAGCAGCAGCAAGTGCAACTCTGCCCCAAGCTGTAGAAGCCAGCCTCTCCAGTCAACATGGGCCCGTGCTCCTTTGTTTACTGTTCTAGAAACTGCTTTTGCACCACATAGCTGTAACTGTTCTTCATGTTGGAAAAAAATAGAGAACTGCATGGAGAAGGGGAAAAAAAAAAAAGAGGGTAGAGCTTATGACAATTAATTTCTCTTCAGTGTTAACAGACCAGGTTCAGAGGCTATTGCTTATTAGCTGATGCTGTCAAATCAAGGGTCTTCATTTTTGTGGTTGGAAAGGAAACAAACAGTTGAGTTTGTGTGAGCCCATTTGAGTTGGGCATTTTGTGTTTGTGAATTCCAATTACGCTTTTATGGTTTTTTAGAAACACACCTTTAAAATGCTGTTAGCTTAGAATAGAATTCTTATGAATTGAATCAAATTTTCAAAACCACTACATCCAGCTTCTGGTTTTTGTACTTGGCACTTATAGTACTGCTGATTTAGGTATAATCTTCCTGATTTTTTTTTTGTGAGCTAATTGCATCTCTTAGAAAATATCTTTGAACTCCTTTGAATACTGTTGTTTAAATTTAAGGTGTTGATTATTTAGTAGATTCGGTTGTAGGTAAAAAGGAATTATCCAAAGTTTGTGTTAAATTTTCATAAAATATAATGAAACATTAAAATTTATCTAAATATTTTCTGCTAAGTAGCTTTGATTCCACCTATTTAAAAACTTATTTTTGGGGGGGAAAATTTGTGTAAACAAACAAATAGAATTAAATCTGAGGCTTTAGCATACACTTACTTTATATTCAGGGAAGTGGCGGAGTCCCCATCCCTGGAGGTGTTTAAAAGACATGTAGACGTGGTGCTTAGGGACATGGTTTAGTGGTGGACGTGGCAGTGTTAGGTTTACGGTTGGACTCGATGATCTTAAAGGTCTTTTCCAACCTAAATGATTCTATGATTCTATGAAATTATAAACAATTTGGGATTATTAGCAACTTTATTATGTTTCCTCTATGTGACTTGTTCTGTTAATTTTTGTCTCTTAGGATAATCCCACAGTAGTTGTTGAAGACTTGCGGCTTTGCACAGTTAAACACTGTGAGGACATAGAAAGACGTTTCTGTTTTGAGGTGGTTTCTCCAACAAAGTAAGGAGAAGTGATGGAGCATAATTACTTAAAAATAAAACGATCATTACATTCAGTTGTCCTGAAATGCAAGATTAACATTTCTCTTGGGATAGATCAAAACAGGAAAAGTATCTGAACAATTCTTTTTTCTGAAATTTTGGCTAAGAGTAAGTGATGCTGTGAGAAGCATCCCTAGTATTTAGTTTACTTTTGGCATTAAAATAAACATGCATTCTTGTGCTTTATGCATAAATGGCTTGTGGTTGTGGAGTTGTGGCTTAGTAGTAGCTGATACTATCAAGCTGCTTAGTAATGTAGAAAATAGATCTCAGTTTCTCCAGACTTCTGATTGGTGTAATGAGAGAGAAACATATTAATAAGTTGTCATCTCAGTAGTGTTAAATTACATTTCAGAGTGCACTAAATGAAACTACTGAATAAAAATATTTTTCAGCTGTAGCAGTGCAGTGTATTGGTTATATTCGGAGAAGTATCGCAGTCTTGCCACAGCCAGTGTGCAGGACATGGATTTCTCATTAATGATTTTGATATGTGACCATATTTAAATTTTTGATGTAAGGTCAATCTGCTTTTAGGTTTGGATGTTATCGACTCTCCCCACTTGTACTTACGTTTCTCTTCTGTCCTAATATTTGCTTCCTCAGTTGTGGTTCCTTTTAACATACATTTTGCTCCTGCTTGCCTATACTTCTTCAGCCCATAAGAGTTGAACAGTTTTATACTTCATGACCCATTTCCTTTGACTGTTGGTGTGAAACGTTGTTCATTCTTTGTCAGAGAGCTTTAAAATTTTCTCTTGATCTCAATGAATGAACTGTGTTTTCAAGGACTGATACCTGTATCTTGTGTAGTTAGTAGTAGAGGTAAATTGCATGTGAGGATATAAAAATGAAAATTTTGGAATAAGAAAAGAAAGGGAATAGGAAACTAGGCCATTCTCCGGGTTATTTGAAGAGTCATCTCTATATGTTTTAGCATTACCAGCAAATAGTTTTGAAACAAGGAGTTTGTAATTTGTAAAAGGTCAGCTGCTTTGTTATCTCAAAATAAATGGGTTCATTAAATGATGCCTACTAAACAATATACTTGTGGTGGTAGCAAGAAACTTTCTCAAGAGTCTGTATTTTGTTGAACAAGCTGCTGTTTGATGTTAGCTGCTTGGTCAGTCTCTGAACCTGAGTACATGTGTGTTTGTCACAGGAGCTGCATGCTTCAGGCTGACTCGGAAAAGCTGCGACAGGCATGGATTAAGGCTGTTCAGACTAGTATTGCTACAGCATATAGAGAGAAAGGGGATGAATCTGAGGTGAGTTTAAAAACCAAACAGACAACAACCCCCCTTTAGATCCTGAAAATTAAAAATAGAGAAAACCTCTTTTTATGAGAGGGGGAGGGGGGAAAAGAATCTATTTTTTGTCTTCCAGTGGAAATGCAATGGATTTTGAAGGCTATGATTTATATCTAATCTATATTTCACTCCATCTTACTAATGTTACTTTGGCCTGTATGTTTTGATGGGATTTTTCTGTAGTGTGATTAAAATTCATAGGATTATTGGATGCTCCTATATTCACTTCTGTAGTTCTTCTAAAAAGCTAAACATTTTTTCAGTTCTATGGCTTTCCTTGGCCTTAAATGCAGAAGTTACTTTTCTAGGATTCTAGTGCACTGTCAGTATCTGTAGGACTTTTATTTTTTTATTTTGGGGTGTGTGTCTGTTTTCTTTCAGAAACAGGAAAAGAAATCATCCCCTTCTACTGGAAGCCTAGAATCTGGCAGTGAGACAAAAGAGAAGTTGTTAAAGGGAGAAAGTGCTCTACAGCGAGTTCAGTGTATTCCTGGTAATGCTGCCTGCTGTGATTGTGGTTTGGCAGATCCTCGCTGGGCCAGTATCAACCTAGGAATCACGCTGTGCATCGAGTGCTCTGGGATACACAGGTTGGGGAACTCTTCAGAACTATATGTGGTTTGTGCATTGACTTAATTAGGAAGGGTGGTGTGCCTCTTCAAGTGTATATTGAAGAAATGTTAGAGACCCCTGTTTGTAAACAGAATTAAGGTAACTGTTTTATTTGCATAAATTAATGGTAAAGCTGTCTGAGGTAAGGCACAACATGCCATTACAGGTTAGTATTTTTTTCATGCTGTTTAGGAGCTTGGGAGTCCACTTTTCAAAAGTAAGATCTTTAACGCTGGATTCATGGGAACCTGAACTTCTAAAGGTATGATAGTATTTTTGAAACAAGTTTCTATTTGGTACTGAGATTGTTGTTCTAAAGCCACTATATCAGAAAGTGTAATGCCGGACACACTTGCGTTTGTATCCAGTGCATGTCTTTAATTTTCTACTCAAAAGTGCTTATAGTTGCGTGTTGGGTTTGGTTTTGTGGGTTTTTTTAATTTACACTTTCTTATAATACATGCAGTAGTCATTCTTGTTACAAACTTGCGAGGCAGAACAACTTAAGACACTTTTGGGTTTGCAAATACACTTTGAGTAGTAAGTTTCATCTGATACTTTCAACATATAAAAATGGAAATCTGTTTACAGACCAATAATATAGGGGCTGAAAAATTTTGGAAGTGCTATATCAGCCTAAAGCATGATCATACTTGAAAATTCAGATGCCAACTCTTACAGTGAGATCTTGATTTCGTACTCCTACTAGCTTATAGGAGAACATCCACAAAACTGCTCTTGTGTGTTATTTGCTTGCCAAAATTCTAGCTTGAAACAAGGTTATGAGAATCATGTGACATTGAAATACCAAAATAGGAACTCATGCATGGATGCATGTGTGCAGCTGAATAACTGGTGCAAAGCATTTGTGTCTAGCTGTGATTTTCTGGTACTTAGGTATTGCTTCTCTATTCTGAACAATCAAAAGACAATGCAAGTAGGAGTGTTTCTCTTGTGGTTAAATAATTTTAATATCAATGTGTTCATGCTGAGGAAACAAACAAAAAAAACCCCTAAAACTATGCCCCTTGTCCTGTTTATGTAAATAGCAGAGCTGACTATTCTACCTGGTATTAGAAGCAAGAAGTCTGTTCGTTGCCATCAGTAAGTTGGACTTTATGGGCCAAACTCTCCTTAAAGTAGTATCTGCAGGCTGGTTTTTGTCTTTGATCTTTTTCTATAGACATAACATTATGGTTTAGCAAAAATGCCTGTTGGACAAGATGGAATAGAATTGATTGAATAGTCTCTTGCCAATGAGATAAGAATAGCTACTGGCAAAGCTGGTGGAAAAGAGTGCCTTTGTTAATGAGGCCTGCAGTTGTCATTCTGATTGCACAGAAAAGATTCTTGAATGACAGATGGTCATTTTTGCAGTCCTTTTTCAGAAGGGAATGGCACTTTAAAAGAGTGGCTATCTTTTTTTGCTGTCTTACTCAGAATTTGGCCTCTCTATTCACTGATGTTTTCATTACCATGATATAAACCATGCTTATTTCTGTAAGTGTACTTCTACCAGTGAAAATACGAAGTTGTAAAAATAGGCTGAGTAAGATTAAAAACAACTAAATAGGTAGATAAAGCCTTTTGCAACTGTATTTGAATTTATTTATTTTGCTTCATAGCTTATGTGTGAATTGGGAAATGATGTTATAAATAGAATATATGAAGCGAAGTTGGAAAAAGTGGGAATAAAGAAGCCACAACCTGGAAGCCAAAGGTAGTAATTTACTAGCAATGCCTCTACTTCCTTCTTCTGTTGCTTCCTTCAGCCTCCAGCTGTAAAAGATGCTGCCACTTAGCTGTGTAACACTCCTTTGATTTACTCTTCGTTTCCCCTTATCACCAGTATGTTTTGCTCTCCTCCTTTTCTCACTCTCTACCTGTATTGGGTATTCCTTCTGTTGGTCCCTTTTGGCTTCTCTTGTTCACTTGTTGCTTTTCCGATCTCGCTCCCTCCTTTTAATGACAACTGTACAGCATCCTGCTCTGTCTCATCAATGTGGGCATGTTGATTTTTGTTTCCTGTTTACTTTGTACCATCTCAGACAGCTGTACTTGGTCTGTGAGCTCCTGGAAGGAGCATGTGGCTGTGCCTTTTGTTTACAGTGACTTTGTTCTTGAGTTTGACTTCTGTTCCCTGAGCTCCAGAATGCTCTTTTCTTTCTGCCTACATTGTACATGAGCTCTGCTGGTTTACAGCAACCTTCTAATGATTGTTCTGCTGTCTTCCATTTCTCTGATGCTAATTTGCCTCTAAAGGTAGTTTCCTAATGTTTTGTTCTGCTGTATAAGATGTCTTTTAAAACTTCTTTTTTTCCAGTTCTGTGCTGCTTGCTGTCAGGCAGTTTTATGGTATAGAAAACAGCGTGTTATAAAGTGTTGGCAATTTGGAGACAATGATAATATAAATAATGTAGGAGATTTACTAGGTATTCCTTCTAGTGGTAACTGCTTTTCAGCATTTTCAATAGTAATACTTTTACAGACCCTTTCATCAGTTTGTCACAACTGGTGTGTGTGTCTTAAGATGATAATCTCAGGTTACAAGAAAAAATATTTCAGTATGCATTATGGAACTGGTGGCTGTGCCTACCTAAGGCTTATTATTGTTACGGTTCTCTTGTGCAATTTTGATGTTCCTTTAACAAATGTTGCAATTTATATTTACCTAAGAAACCAAATATATGCTATATTAATTGGTTATTAACAAAGTAAAACGTGTGTTAGTACCAAGAAGTGGTAGTTGGACTAGATGATTGTTGTAGGTCCTTTCTAACTGAAATAGTCTATTCTAAGTATCATACAGTAGCTAATGTTTATTTCTTCCACATACCACTTTCTAAAGTCTCTGCCTGAAAGAGAATATACATATATGAACTTAACAAAATTACTTTCTTTTGAGCCTTATGCAAAATTTAATCAAGAATCCAGAAAGAGTTAGACAGTGTGCTCTTCATCTTTCTGAAAATGTGTTGTAAGTGTGTCTTATGTGCAGTGCCAACTTACGATTTTGGCTGCTGGCTTTAGTATGAAATGGATGTTCTTTTAATACATGAAAATATTAAAATATTAGCTTACTAACTCCAGGGATTTTGTATATGACAGGCAGGAAAAGGAGGCATACATCAGAGCAAAATATGTGGAAAGAAAGTTTGTAGAGAAGCAGCCTGCATCACTACCTCTGCCTGAATCTGGAACAAAAGTTTTGCCTCAAAGTCAGGAAGAGAAACGGCATAGTGGGCCTGAAAAATCCCTTTTGGCAGGGGAACAAGGTGCAGCATCCCAAAAAGGTATTTACACACTTCTCTTACTAGCCACGTTACACGTATTCTTTTTAAAGTAACATATTTTTGTATTAATTGATTTCCTGCCTCAAGCAGAGAAATTGGAATCTGTCTTTTAATGGGGCATAGCCTAGTTCAGAAGCAAAGGGGAGAAAAGACTTGTTCAGAGATGTGCATTTTTTAGGTGGGGAAGAATTTGAGGTGGGGTTGCTTATCATTCAGAAACATATTAACCACCTTCTTTCCTCCGTATTTTCATCCTTCTTGATTTTCCAATAACGTTCTTTCCTGCCCTGTCCCTTCCTTACTGCCTGCTTTGTGCTTTGCTAACTTGCATGTCCCAGCGGTTGCTGTAAGTAGCGACGAGGCGAGGCGAGAGTCTCTGTTCTGTCCTGATGAACTAGATTCACTCTTCTCCTACTTTGATACCTCTTCAAAACTACGTAGTAGTAAGTACTACAGCTATGGCGTGTTCAGTGTTTGCGCTAGTGATCCATTGTGTGTTGTGGCCATCTCCCTGCCTGTAATCCATTGTCTCCGGGCTACTGCATTGTTTAGTATTTTCATGAAATAATTTAAGCTTTTTTACTTATCCTGATCTTTTCCTGTCTAATAATCTTTGACATTTATTATTATTATAAATATTATGGTTGCAATATGTGACTTCATATTTTTCTATGGATACATTACGAATATTGAATAATTACTAGTCATTAAAACAAATGTATTCAGGAGCAAGTATAAGAGCTTGCTTTATTATCATGGTATCTGTGAAGAGTAGGTAACTTACGGTCTGCATAGTCATTACAGTTTCTCCCCAAACAGTACGAAGCAGTGACAGTGGGATCCAGCAGAGTGCTGATGACAGCAGAGAACACCTTGCCTCTACTATATCAGCTAACAGTTTGTATGAACCAGGTACGTTAGGTTTTCCACTTTAGGCTGAAAATTTAATCACTACTTCTTGGTGGCGTGCTCTTGTCAGAGATTAGTACTTGGTGATACAATTCATGTCTGTTCTATCCTGGTGGGCTGAAAAATTTTTAACAAGGGTAATAATTGTTTGAGTGATCCTTCTCTCCACCGGGTTTAGTAGCAAAAACAACATTGAATCCTCCTAAGTGAGTTCAGATAACTATGTTTTTTTGCAATCAGATGATACCGAGCCAGAACTTTGTTTTTCAGCAGAGAGCGCAATGCTGCATTTTGGTGCAGACAAGTCTCCACAGAAATGCGTAATCCTTTTATAAATAATTAAATCCTTGGAGATGGAATTCCTGTTAAGTCACAGATAATAGGCTTTTTTGTGTTGTTTGAGCATTCTTGCTTAATTTTTCTGTTTTCCACTTACATGGAATTGACCATGTCTTTAAACATTACCCCCTCTTCACTGAAAGTTTTGTAAATTGATTGATGAAATAATTTGCTATCTAATATTAGTATCCTGGGCTGACAGATGTATTGAGTATGGCTTGTCAAAATATCCAAAACATTTCTTCATAAAGCAAACTTATTCTTCAACATCAAAGCACTCTTCTGAGGTATGTTTTAAATCCAGTAGTTCACAGCTGTGGTTTGTAGGAAAGCAGCATGTGGCTTGAATCCTTTCTTTGCCTTCATTGTAGAAACATGATGCTGTAACTCATGAAAGCTTATATATAACAATGTCTTTATCTCCCAGACTTCACTCTGTATAACTCTTATTGAGTTGAAAAGAAAAATTACGCTTTAGTCCAAAAGATTATAGCCACAGCAAGTAATTGGTAAATGACAGTGGTATCTTTTAAGGAAAATTAGGTCAGAACAGGATTAGCCTCATATTCAGGTGTATCAAGCTGTAGCAGATAAAGATATATTTATATGACTGCATCTCTGCAGGAAATTAGTATTATTCATATCTTGCAGTATAGGATAAAAGACACTTCTAACCTAAAGTAATTTCTTAGAAATGACATGGAATGGGTAGACTGAAGGATATTCACACATGCCAATAATGTGGAGAGAATGTTTTCTGGGCAGTAATAAATCTGTGAAGTTGCCATGCCTGAATGGTGGAACAAGCTAAAGGCATCTGTGACTTCTCCTGGCAGAATGGGGCAACAGTGCACAGCATTCTGCAAAGCCTGAGCTACCTTATGCCAGAGAAATTACATTTTTGGTGAGAATGCCAGGAGGTACCTTAAAAAAAAAAAAAAAAAAAAAGAATTACAGATAAGCAATTTTTTTTTTTTTTCATTTCAGAAGGAGACAAGCAAGAGTCTTCTGTGTTCTGTGACTCCAAGCAGCCTAGTCCAGGATTGCAGCTGTATCGAGCTGCCTTTGAGAAGAATCTTCCTGATATGGCAGAAGCATTGGCCCATGGAGCTGAAGTAAACTGGGTCAATGTAGAAGAAAACAAAGCAACACCACTCATTCAGGCAGTGCGAGGGGTATGGGATATACAGCACCCAACTGATGCGCGGGGAGGGGAGGGGGAATAATAGGGATATTTCTGTGTCACTGCTCCTTTTGAACTGCTTGCTTTGCTAATGAATGATAATGTGATGCTGAAGTTGTCTTTACAATGTTCTCTGAAAGTTGTTTCTGAACTGTTTTTTTCCAGTTAATGCTTTGTTTGGAATTATATAACCTAGTAGTGTTTAAATTTGATATGGAAGCAAAATCCCTTTCGTTTCCTTTGCCACATGACTCAGTGGTGAGACAGCAGAACAGGTTTGGCTCTTATTCTAGAGATCTGGTGCTGAATTGTTTCTTTGCTTTTATTCCGTAGGGTTCATTGGTTACTTGCACATTACTGATGCAGAATGGGGCCAATGTGAACATCAGGGACATGAAAGGAAGAGGACCCCTGCACCATGCCACGGTTCTAGGACATACGGGGTAACTCACTGCTCCAGAATTTGTAAATGGCCATCCTTTACTACAGTAGTTAATGTGAAGCTTCTTCATTTCCCCAAATATTCTGGCATTTTAATGTATTTCAGGTGATCTAGGTTTTTCTTAGACTTTTGTGGTGAGAGAGGAAATAACACTTTGAGTTAGCAGTCTCATCCGCTAGCAAAACACACATCTATAAACACACTTTGGTCCATTTTGTAAAAACATGTATTTAATAATGCTTTGAAATAGCATGGACTTTTGGTGAAGACTCATGAGATTTGTCTCATTTTCTTAATGTGATACAAATAGGAGAAATGGTGGTGTGTGAGGGCCAAGGCTTTTTCTGACTCATCCCACCTGTGTGTTGCACCAAGAGTGTATCTCATTTCAAAATGTACTGCATTACATCTTGAGTTTTGGAATCATGGCTTTTAACTGAAGGCCCTGTACCAGCTTAGTTCAAAGAAGGACATAATCTGGTTGGTGGTGCCCAGACTCTTTGCATGCATGAATTCTAAACAGACTGCAACAACTTGGGAGAGTTTAAGATGTAAGCTTAGTTAGTATGCCCTGTTTATAAAGATGAAGAATTATAATAGCAGAGGAAAAGGAGATCAGTGTCTGCTGGGTAAATCAGGCACCTGTGAACTGTGTTCTTTCCTGTATTGATTTACCCTACTCAGTGGTTCTTGTCTATCATAGTAAAAGGGATGAGGGCTTTTTGGGTTCTACAACCTAAGATGATACAGGAAGGTAGAGTCTCGCTTCTAAAGAGTTCAGGTCCTTGCTGCACTAGTGTGATTTGAGTTAGGCTATCTTTCTAATGTGGATTAAGTAATTAAGGTTTTGCTTACTACTGTGGTAACGTCTTAGTTCTTCTAGATGAACAACACTGTTTTGATATGTTCAAGAGATTTTTGGCAATGTAAGCCAAATACATTGCATCTAGCTTGAAATTATTTGCTTTTTCCTCTATTGTTAAAATTATTCTTAAATGCTTTTTCCAAACAGACAAGTGTGTTTATTCCTAAAACGAGGAGCAAACCAGCATGCCACTGATGAAGATGGGAAAGATCCGTTGAGTATAGCAGTGGAAGCTGCAAATGCAGATATTGTAACATTGTAAGTCATGCGTTCTGTTTTTGATTAGGTAACTAGGTTTTCCTATTCCGTTTCAAGTTAGAAATATAAGACATGTCAAAATTCCTTTACATAAAAACAGGGAGGGCAAAAGAGTGCATTATCCATAGATGACCTCACTGGTGTGGGGTTCAGGAGTGCATTGTAAGTCTTGAGTTGCAGTCTTTTTAGTGCTTTAAAGATGACATTGTTCTTCTTGTTTCCTAAATCATAGGTTGCGTTTAGCAAGGATGAATGAAGAAATGCGTGAATCGGAAGGACTCTATGGACAGCCAGGTCAATACTCTACTAATAACCATACTGAAATGCAGTATAAGAAGTGTATTCAGGAATTTATCAGTTTACAATTAGATTCTTAGGAGGGAAATTTAAGATAGCTTCATGCAGTAATTTTTTTTTTTATAAACAACTGATACATGTTAAAAGCCTCATTGAAATTCACTGGTGTGACTTTTTCAGATTATTTAGGGGACCTAAAAGGAGAGTGTTTAAAGTACATTATTATAGTAGTGTATGTTACTACAGCCATTACCAACCTGTTTTTCTGGTAGTTGTCCACAGTTTTCTCCTGTTGATGTTCCTTTGAAATTCACATAATGTTAGATTTACCTGACGTTATTTAATAGCAGCTTTCTGACCCGGGTTGCTCAGAGACAGTTGAGGAGTTCATCTTATTACAGGATACCATTCTCCTTCTAGTGGAGTGGTCCTCTTTTTTAAGAAAAAAATGCTTGCACACCAGTGTAAAAATGTACATCAAGTATTTCAAAATAACCCCAGACAGAAATAGCAAAGTATTATTTCCTCAAATTTTATTTTTAAATATTTTGTTAAAATACAAATAAGAAACAAAGCAGTCATTCTTAAGTATGTATTTTTGTATGCATAGTATCTTACTGTTTGATTTAAAAAAAAAAAAAAAAAAGGAATTCGCAGACATTCGAGCCAACTGGTACAAAAAAAGTAACAAATTATATCTAATGAATAAGTGCAACTTTATTCTCAGGCACTTGGTCCCAATTGACACTGTTCTGATGTGATATTTATGCAAGCCATTTCTTCTATTATGGTATGCTTCCATAGGAACCTAATTTATTCTTGTGCAAATATCAATAATGAAGGCATGCTTGATTGTCAGGTTAGCTAAAAACACACTGCTATACCTGGCAGTAGTGAAAGGCAAACCTTATTTTTAAGGTTGAGTGCTGAGTACTCTTGGCTCACTCCTATAAAGCCCTCATGTATTTTCCACTGATTCATAAGGATTGTGTGTGCTTATGTCTTTTACCAGATTGGTGCTGGAATATACTCAAGGGCAACACTGAGTCTCATGTCAATATCCCAGATGAACTCTATTAAATAAACCCAATTTATTTAGTTTATCCTTAGGAATAGATATTTTTCAAATTTATTTTTAAACAACTTTTCTAGGAAATTCAAATTAAAAGAATAAAAATACTATAGATGCTCAGATATTCAAATGCTTTCTTTGGCAGAGGAACAGATAATTTGAAATTATATATACTTGATTATGAGCTTAAATGAGGAATAATTCCCCACTCAGAAAATGCAGCAGGCTATATATATGAAAAAAGCCTATTGTCAGTTTGGCCATTTTGAATGTAAAGCTGTTTTCTGATACAATGCATACTACTTCACTGACAGGCTGAAGGTAACAAACACTGAAGTATTTTTGAGTCTCCTCATTTTTATTTTAAGAGGTAAAAATAATAACTATCAGTTTCAAATAGTAAAATGTCTTTGTTTTAAGGGAGTAGGTGTTTTGATTCAAAAGCTCTGTGCTAAATCATAAATTAATTTTTTTAGATCATTTAACTGATCTTTCACAAATCCAAAAATTACAAACCAGAAAATGTTTCTATAGTTTGTACAAAAAGCCTCAGCTGGTTACTTAACATTACAAATATTTAGTAAAATGTTTCATTCATGACAAATACAGATGCTACTTACATGAAAATATGAACGTGTTTAAACTGGAGATGAGGGAGACTATTTTCCCCAACATCTTGCTTAAAATATTTTTTTAGATAGATTCTTCAGTTAGGTAGATGAAATAAAAAGCTGGCTAAGTCTCTTTCATTGAAAATATCTTGACCTTTTTAGCAGTTTGTATTACAGTAGAATCTAGAGACTGCAGTTGATACAATCTGATCCAGACATTTTACAGATAATAGCTGATCCTTGTAAACAGGCGCGATTGACAATGGAAAGTAGAGCTGCCACAAGGGATAGAGCTTGCCTGAAATCGGGGGGAGGGTATCATTAGAGCAATTTTTGAAATTCAGGCCACAAGCTGTAGCACAGGGTCCCAGCCAGGAGATCTTGCTGTATCTTTGGATAGCATAGCTCTGCTCTCCTTGATTCTTTACTTGCTGAAGTCTCTTTTAAAAGTTGAAGTAAATATGAGTGGTTTAGATGTTAACGTCTGCTAGCCTGCTAGAAGGATTGTGTAAATGTGTTAAGTGCAAGCACAAAACCTGTCTCTGCTGTCGCAAGGTATGATACCTTTATGTGGTTGTAGAGGAGGCAGGTCTTTTTCATTGCATATACATGTTAAATTATCTGCACTGCCCTTATTTTAGAACTCCTCTTTTCCCAAATTATTATTCTAGAAGAAAATAAGGATTTTCAAGACAATTGTATGTTTGCTGGGAGCTATGTGAGGGTAGATATCGATGGATGAGTTTGCTGTCTTCAGAGTGAAGCCAACTGCCTATTTCTCCACTTTAGTAATGTAGTTGATAAACAATTACTAATGTAGCTAATGGTGTCAACACTCCTAACTTAAATATACCTGGCTGGTTTGAGCTACTGAGAGAATGTAGATATTGCTTTGCAAGGTACAGTTGGTCTTCCAAAATACTCCTAGAATGGGAACTAGCTTGTTCCACAAAAAGTTCATTTCTGGTGGTAGAAGCCATATGCACCATTGTACTGTTTCTTGTATAATACTTGAGTGTTCATCTTCTGGTGCTACAGTATGTCTGCTAACTATTTGATATTAGTATTGCTACTTTTTCTTCCTATCCTTTCTTGAATGTATGTTGTGTGCCTTTTGAGTTATTCTGGTGTTAAATAGTAAAGCAGTGTTATAGTATTTTTGTACATAAAATCTGCACTTTAGGGAAAACATTGCTTGGAAAGGGAATTTACAGAATTCAATTTTAAAGTAAGATTTTAAAATAATTATAAGGTTTACAGTATTAAGTATTTTAATGCAGCAAACTAACGGGGCACTTTATTTTAGTCTATTTTTGTATGTAATATTTTTGTTATGTAACAGAGCCAAAGCCAGAGCCACAATGTATCTTGCAAAATAGCTTTTGTTTTTTCTTTCAAGTTAATATGAAAGAACAAAATATGGCAATTTGAACTACAGTACTAGTTCACCAGTGGAATCTACTTCTGTATTAAAAGCGTAATTGCTTTTATCATACAAGTTTGATTCCAATTTGTGCTCTTCATAGCTGTTCTTTTGGTGAATGTTACAACTCCATTCTGTGCTTATCTCCCAGCGCAAGCAGTTATCAGAAACCGTCACAATAAAATGTGTCCTGTGCCTGCTTCATTTCTAGAATATACTTGAAACTAAATCTGAAAACCAAAAGAGAATTTCACTAGAACTAACTTTTCCTAGTAGAGCAGTATTGAATGTATTTATCTTTTAAAGTCTGGGAAGAATTGTGTCGTTACTTTTTTGTATAAACCCACATGCCATGCATGTTAAATATTTCTGGAAGGTCAGTTATAATTGCTGAAAGTGTTTTCAAATGAACGGAGTCTCATCTCCAAAAGAATGATAGTTCTAATATTGGAAATGTGCATTAAAAGATGGAAAACCAAAACAGTGTAACTTTTCAGTGTAGTGCAAACTTTTAAACACACACAAAAAAAAAAATTTAAAAACTGCCCTTTGGAAAAAAAGTGGTGGAATAATCCTCTTCTTCCAGAATAATATTGGGGGGGGGAGTTTTTTTAATGTTCAGCATACATGATGAGAGAGGTTTTGGGTTGATTTCTTTGTCATGCTATTAATCAAGCTGTCAGCAAGGAATAGTAGTGCTGGGATCTTGTGTCCTGTGTGGTCATGTGTGTTGGGAAGACAGTAAAATTTGGATGGCTGCATAGTTCCTGACCGGACCAAATGTTTTATGCATTTAATTCCCTTGAAGGCAACAGGGTATGGTTAATGTTTTAAAATGAAACATGAACTCAAGGCCCAAAATGCTGCAGCAGATGAAAGAATGTGAAAATGTCCATTTTAAAGTGGCAGAAGAACGACTTGGCAATGACTCAAAAAGTAATCATTCCTGAATGTGTTTTCTTATGTAGACAGGGAGGGGGAGGGAGACGGGCCTGGTGGAAATCGCTGCCATCCCTCATTTTGGAATATGTGCTAGTAGTCGGGTTGTGTTTAAGCACAAAGGGTGAAGATTAAAAAAAAAAAAAAAATTTAAGGAAAGTATCATCACTCTTACAGATAAAACTAAAAGATGTAATGAATGTTCAGTAATGCATGTAAAAATTTATATTTGCTGAAGTAATTGACCAAAAGGATTTATGAACAATAATTTCTCTACTTAGGATTGCTTTTTTTATACTACTGCTCGCTGATTGTTTCTTTCATGGACAGTTCTGTCTGACTGTAAGACTTCTGACCTCTGTTTCCAAGTAAATCTTTATTTATGCCATAATTTGACTTTTTGGAAGAGAATCTTGGTTAGCACTTCCTTGCAAAACCAAGGATTTTATTCTTTAATAGCTAATAAACATTTTTCTTTTTCCGTTGCTTTAAAATGCTTTAATTTTTCCTTTCTAACTCTGAACTTTCCTCTGTGTGGCTGCCTGTGAGGTGCTGTTTCAGGTATAGTTTGGCTTTGTTTAATTTGCTTCTGCAGAACATGCATGCAAGTAAACAGTCCCAGAGAGTTCACATCAGCATCATTCCATCTATAAGCAATCTTTATACATGATTAAGTGTTATACAGTAATTGGTAGTACAATAGGGTATTTGTGCAATGGTGGGTGATGTTAACTATCACAAATGTTTAAAACTGTTTCCCTTTTCTTTTCTTCCTAGGAGATGAAATTTATCAGGACATTTTTCGTGACTTTTCTCAAATGGCATCAAATAATCCAGAGAAGCTAAACCGTTTCCAGCAGTCAGATTCCCAGAAGTCTTAAGTGTCAAGAAGGAAAAGAACCTGATCCTTATAATGCAAGCCTTTTTTTTTTTTTTTTTTTTACTTTAAAAGAATGAATTATATACATTTTGTTAGATAGTTTGGATAAAATGACCACTCTAACATAGCTTTAGATTGTGGTAGCTGGGAAAATGTATGAGTTGTTTTATGTTCTACAGTATGTATACCTCAGCAGCTGAAGATGATGTTAAAAAAAGGAATGCCTGCTAGCTCAGTATAAAAAATAGTACCTGTTAGCAAGTACAAAGTTTGTCTATAGTTCGTACATAAAGTTAGCAGAGCATAGCTGTATGCGTTGCAGATTCTGGGTGGCAGGATGATCAGACCCCCTGCCGTCATCTGTGTCCCTATTGCCATAAATAATGTGCCTCTGACAAGAAGGTCTGGGTTGCATTTTCTGGGACTGTTTGGAAGGGAAATCGGGTAATGACTTACTGAGTCGTCCTTCTATTTGTGGCCCTGTAACTTAACAGATTCTCTTGTTCCTATGCTGACTGTGGTTAGAGGTAAGCTGTTAATAACAAGACATGGTAACTTCTGCTCTTCTGCAAGCTCTTTTTTCAGTGGAAGCTTTAACACCAGGCTGGCCTTTACACTAGTGACTGCGGGTCAGTCATGATAGGTGTATATCCTGGAGGACCAAACTTCTAAGAGCAATCTGTTTTCCTTTTTTTTTTCCTCTTAAATTAAACTTTCTGTGCAGCAAGTATACTTTAAAATGAACATGTGGAACCTTTAATGAAAAATAAACTTAATCCTGCTGGACATGATGAGGGGTTTCTTTGCAGTATTTGGACATCAAAGCTTGAAATTTGAGATGTGAAAATAAATATTGAGCCAATGGAGTTTGCGTAGAGCAGTCATGTGAAGGCTCTTTGTTACCTTCTCTTGTTGCTGTTCTCACTACTAGTCCTAAGCTGAATATGTAACATCCCATATGTAATGCAGCCACCCTAAATTGAGGGCAATCAATCCTTTATATCAGGGGGCAGTATCCTTTATATAATCTGCAAAGATGTGTATGTATACATGTTGTCTAAACTAAGGTGTGCACAAGAAAACCTAGGAATTTCACTGCACATTTTCACAAAGTAGCAATGAGAATCGTCTCCAGCTGTATTCTGAGGGCAGCAACAGAGTTTGCTTTTTTCAATAATGAGCTCCACTCTGCTGATGTGCATGTGTAAGTGGTGTCTGTAGATACATGCTTATGTGTCAGGTTATTTGATACCTAGATAGTAATCACCTGAAGCCCCAAAACAGCAGATGCAATTCTTTACGCTCTATTTGTCTGCCCTATGGACAACTTAAGGGGAATTTTTAGGTAACATAGTATCAATGTGAGTTTTTAACAATCTTGATAGCCATGGCATTATGCTAACCTGCTATTTAGATGTATTTAGGAAATGAGTTGGCTTTTCTTCAAGCTGGCTAAGATAAGCAAAACTGGGTAAAAAATTTCTGTAAACTATGGTAAAATTAAACTTTCTGGCATATTAAATTTTAACAAGGTATTTCAAATATAATTTTGCATCAAATGTATAATAATGCATCAAATTTGGATGATTATTGCTGCAAAGTTAATAGCATTTTAGAATTGTCCAATAGATTCTTTTTCCAAGCAGAAGAATCTTACAAAACAGTTCTTGCTTCATGTGTGGTCTAATTATGCTAGGAGAAGCAGCTTCTGTCCATTTTAAGAGTGCATTTAGTCTGAATAGTAAGAAACTTAGGAATATCACATGTAAGCACTAGTTTCTAGTAAGTTGTTTTTTAAATAGCTGCCTATGAAATGATAATATGCTTCCTACTCTGCAGTATTTAACAGCAGTGGATGTTTTAGTAGATCTTAGAGAAGGTAAAATTCCCAGTGTACAGATGGGACAATGTAAGATATGACTATGTATAGTATACACTTCAAACATAGGTTTTTCTAAATATTTGTCTTTTGCAGCCTACATGACAGTGATTGGCAGTGTAGTGTGATTGGCTGTAATGTAAAGCTACCTAAAGCTTAATGGCATAATCGCTATCTCAGTCCATGCTGCTGGAAGAATGTCCCAGACACTTACTTCAAATCTCCGCTGGTATTTTCCTTCCTAGCCATAAAAATCTCCATGGCAAATTTTGCAGGACAACTTCCTGTAGACAAAAAGTTTCTTCCCTGTAGCTCTGCAGATCCATGCGCTGCATTTCCAACTCTCATCTGTCTAGGAAGCAGTATCAGTCTATTTGTGCTAAAGGACTAATAACATACGTGATCCACAGGTTGTATTACTCTTGTCAGGAGCTTTAATGGTTCAGGGAGTAGCTGATCCTGCAGCCTCATTCCTCAGTCCTTTTGGGCATGCTAGGATGTCCAGCATAAGCTGCATACAGTTAAAGCTTTTTTTTTTTTTTTTCAGGTCAGGTGCAATCATGTCTTAGGGTGTTTCTCATCAGCAAAAATGAATATGCCATTAAGCTGCATGAAATGTATCGAGGGCTTAGTCCTGCCCATCACTGGCAGGCTTGGTGCTCCAGGGCCTCTGTAACTTGTAGGGTTCAGCCCTCGGTAATACAAAGTATGATTATCTCTAGCACTCTGAAGATATGGATTTCCATGTTGAGTTCTGACTCAAGTGCTAATCTTCTGCTCTGTAAGGAAGGAAGGAAACTTCCATTTTTATTGCAATATGAATCTGTGTATAACTACAGTAATAGACAGTAAGGCTCTATTGTGGGCTAGCATCTTATACTCTGTACCAGATAATGAAAAGCTTCAATTCCAGTTCATGTTTGTCTGTAGGTATGAAGTATAATAGGTCTTAGTCCGTGAGGTACGAAGCAGTAGATTCCTAACACAGTTTAAAATCAGCTTTTACATGGGTTTTTAGTAATTTACTATAGAGCCCATTGAAAGATTTTATAATATTTTTCTTAGCCAGTGTTACATCATGTGCTCCAAAGGTCTCGTGGGAAAGACAAATGTTGAGGAGCTCAACGTATATTCTCATGCATCTTGATTTCGGAGGTAGAATTTACTTAGGTTGCATGTTGATTAAAATGTGTCTGTGGTGTCTCCTTAGTGATCTGTATTGTTTTGATTGTTCCTAAAGTTTCATATTTTATGTTAATGTCAGTACATTGCATATAAACTTAAATTTCTGAATTATCATACTGAATCATGCCACTGAATTATATTAGACATGCTGGAATTTGTTCCCATAAATTTGGATGAAGGTGGTAGGTGGTAGAAGCCTTGCTTTGCTTTCACAAGCTGCACATATTGCAGTCTGAACGCGTGTTTCAGCTGTTCATTAATACGTGGTAGACTTCAGCTTCCAATTAGGACCTAATCCAAGAAGTCACTGAAATCGGTAGCAGTACTTTCCACTGATTTCAGAAGCTTTGTATTGTACCTTTCGTGGCTTCTAATGTTAGTTAGAAGATCCTGTATTGATACTGTGTTTTTCATTCTGTGGGGTTTTACATTTTACTTGGTTATATACTGAGCTGAAATAGTTTTAGAAAATGCAACCAGACCTTCCAACTGCTGTCAGGAAATCCCCATACAAGAGGAAGTTTCTCTTGTTTTGCTGTATGACATCAGTACACACATGTTGTCCACATTTAATTAGAGTTCTTAATAGAGCAAAAACTTTGTAGCACTAAAGGGAAAAAAGCTGAAAACTAGAATAAGCATAGGGCTGGCTGTGATGTTTCCAGGACTTCGGTGCTTCTCTGCAGCCATCTGTTTTGAAGTATGGATGCTAACTCTGCGTTTTGATCGTGAGAATCTCAAATGACATGGTGAATATAAAAGGACCATTTGATAGAACTGCAAATAGTACGTAAGTACTAAGGACGTAGTATTTTTACACTGTCAAGGGACTGAGCTGATTATTTAATACATTGAAAGTATTTTGAGAGTCAGTTTTGCAAACTACCCTCTCTGCCCATTCGCAGATGGACGCTTTTTCCGAAGTTAGAGTTTATGCCACTTGTTTGTGCACCCTGATAGCCAAAATGTCTTGCTGTCATGCTTGCACAAAAGCACATTTTTAAAACAGGGCCAAGTCCAGAAAGGCAATACCGGGGAAAAGGATGAATGTACCACTTTGGTATATCCCCTTTCATACACTTGCTTTACCTTTCTGCGTACAGTGTTTTCTTGTTTCTCTTCCCATGGAAGGAGATGATAAAGGAGGAAAAAATCCCACTCACTTTTCTGTTATGATCCCAGATTTTCCATGTTGTTGATAGAAACCGCTGAGAAATCAGGTTCCTCAAGCGGAGAGGTTACTTTGTCTGAAATAATGAACTTTTTTTTTTTTTTTTGCCTTTCTCTACGTGTCCCTCTGGCGTTTTTTAAGCATTCCAGCAGTAAAATGCTCGCGTTTTCCTGTGAACTCTTCTCCCCTTAAGGCGTAACTGTAAAGAATGTGTAACCAGCCCTAGTTGGCGTTTAGTAAGGCTGTAGACTTTGTATCTGAGACTTGAATGTAGTTTTCCGTAGTTTGTCATTGTAAATGAGAGAAACGCATTATTGCCTTTGTAGCTAACCGACTGTACATGCTGTAAGGACTGTAAATACTGTACTTGATTAAACCTTTGTATGCAGTGAACGGCCTGGCTCTGGGCGCGGGGCGGGCGCGGGGCGGGCGCGGGGC